GGCATGGGGAGGAGGAGATGCGTAAGCTGGCATTGCAGGAAATGCGAATGATGTCGGTGCAGCGAAAGGCTAGAATCCTGGCGGAGCAACCAGCGCTGATGCGTTGGGGATCGGAGCGGGTAGAGCTGCGGCGGAAGTGAAGGTGGCGACGACATAACTGCCAATGCGATCGCAGCAGCAGCAGCATCCGGCCGCACCCACCCATCCTCGTCTGGTTCCAGACCAGTTGTCGGCACCGGCTTCGATGGCAACGACAGGCGCAGAGACACCAGGCACGTTATCCCGGACTGAGGGCAAGCGCACAGCATAGTCATACTCCTCATCCAACGCAGCCGGCTTCGAGCGCGTGGACTTGACAGGCCGCGAAACGAGCCGAACTACCGTTGAAGACTTCCCGGAAGATGGACACGAATTCCGGCGGACTGCCCAGGCCGTGGCTTGAGAGAGGCTCAGAATAGAGAAAAGCGTCATGCTGCTTGGTCCACATGTACTCCGGTTTCATCGTGTACCAGATGCGGCCGGGCACAGTGCGGTTCAACGGCACACCACGGCCGCGGAGTGCAGCAGCCCCCCGAGCGACCGGCACGTTTCCCCGGGGAGCTGCCCCGCCTCGGGGCCGAAAAGTCTCCTCCCGACGTCGCATCTCCTCGAAGCCATCATGCGTCCAAGCACGGTCCACAGGCGAGTTCGGCTGGGGCTCGGACTCGGGAGCGCTGAGTGCGGGGCGATTGAAGGGCCCGCCCCTGCCCCGGAAGGCGAATCCCCCCCTTGCGCGCCCGCGGGTCTGCCAACGCCCTCGCCACCATCCGCTCAGACTGCGGAGATCTTTATCGAGGAGACGATCGTCGTGGCCCCAGAATTCACCCACGACTGGGACGAACGACGGATCGCTCTCGAGGCGGGACTGGTATGCCTGTCGGGCAGTCTGGCCGGCGGCTCTGCTTACGAAAGGACCTCGGGAGCCGGGGGACGGCCGCGACGAGGACGCAACAGGCTGCTCACCATCCTCGTCGTCACGGTCCTCCTCAGCCCCCTGCTCAGGCTCCTGTTTGTCGGCGTCTTTCCCACGATCGTCCTGGACCTTGCGGATGGCCGACTCATCGAGCTCCCCAAAAGATATGACCGGCAGCCCCTCGGTATCCTCGACCATGTCCGCCCATGCGGTTGAGGTCCCAGAGAAGAACGGCGCTGTGGGTTTTTCGTCTGCGCCGGGGCTGTGGGAGGTGTTGGGGCTGTGGTGGTGGGATGCGGAGCCGTCATCATCATCCGAGTCAGAATCGGTCGAGGAGCCGTGCGTCGAGTCGTCCTCCGAATCGCTCGGCGCCGCCCGCACGACATCATCATCCTCGTCAAGATCTGCGTGGCCGGTTCGTCGTCCTCGGGGTCTGCGTCTTGCGGGCATCGAGGTTGTGGTCAAGAGTGGATGACCGACCAATCAAGCGAAAACAACGTCGAACAGCCTTTCTCTTTGTTTCTCCTCCCCCCTCTCATGCAGCATGACACTGACAGACATCCGTAACGAGGTCGTTGCTGTTATATGACCCGCAGGAGCAAATTGGGGAGACTCAGCGGCTTTTTCGCGGTGGCTTACTCAGTATGGCAGCGAAGTTCACGGCAGATATAGTGGTGTGTAGATTACCGGCTGTCTCAGCTGGGCCGCCAATATGTATATCCAAGTGTACGACACAAATTGGTTGTTCTACCTATGAAAAGCTCCACGGTTTCTTCAATTTCATGCGGTGTTGATCTCTGGGTATGTCGTGTTGCGCATTGCAAGCTCTCGAACACCGGCATCGTCCTGTCTTGCATTTGCTCCCGATCGCTGCTGGTTTCACTTGTTCCGTGCCTCCGTTTGCTCGTCGCCGATCAAGCTCGACTGCCTCTATCTGCTAGTCCATGCGTCTGGGAACCCATCACAGACTCTCATGAACGATTTTTGGTGTTTACTTGTTTATCGGGGCGTTCTTTATTATGGAGCCAGTACATAGACGCTCGGTTAAACATTATTCGCGCGTTTCCTTTTGGATTCCACGCAATGCTTGTCCCCAGCGTCATTGCGCCCATCGAAAACGCCGCTTTGCGTGGCATTCATTCGTGACTCGAATGAAAGTCCTCATCATCATCACTCAAGCTAGACCTAGAACCAGAAACTGCGTCTTTGCAGCCATGGTGCTTTCCAGAATTGGCCGCCAGAGACAGCCGTGATTTTATCGACATATTTTACTTTGATCATCACCTTCGATGGTCATCTGCATAGTGCTTTTGTTGCGACTTGAAGCTGAAATATTAGTGTTATGTATCGAACATTGAGAGAGCTCCCGATCGAGACCTCAGTACAACATTTTATTATCCGTCATATGCATCTTTCAAAATAAGAATCAGGAATTTAGTATACAGCCCCACGCTACAATTCTGCTTGCCACGTCTCGGTTCAAAACACCGATCATGGTCTTGTGATGGTGACACTTTCCTTTTCTAGCCCTCAGGCGTTGATTGTGCGTCTTTGGGGCCAATAGAACCGGTTGGAGCAAGATGCCGGAACCCGACCCTTATTCCTGTCGCCGTCGTTTGCCCTCTGCAGTCTCGACCTCATGCCCAAGATAACACTGCCCAGCGGGCACACCTGGGCCTACGTCGATGCCAACCCAACCGCGCGCAAAACCATGATCTGCTTCCACGGCTTCCCCGACTGTAAATGAAGATGCAGCTCGTCGTGTGTCGTGTCTCATCGCATACACAGTGGGATTTGGGTATCGACATCAGATTGGGCCGTGGGCGCGCGCCGGGTATCGCGTCATCGTGCCCGACATGCTCGGGTACGGCGGGTCAGACGCTCCTGTCGACCCCGCGCAGTACACGACGAAGCGCTTGGCGGACGACCTTGCTGCGTTGCTCACGGCGCTGTCCGTGGAACGCGCCATTGTTATCGGACACGATTGGGGGTCGTACACTGCTGGCCGATTCGCGCTGTGGCACCGTGAACGCGTCGAGGCGTTGATTCTGTGCGTCTCGCCCCACTCCCTGTATTCTCGCTGACTGAACTATGCAAAGGATGAGTGTCCCTTTCACGCCACACCCTCCCGCGCCAGTCACCTTGCCCGATGTTGTAGCGCGTGCACCGAATCTTGCGTACCAGTTGTATCTCGCCTCGCCAGTCGCCGCGCCGACCATCGAGGCCAATGTCAGTGTCAACACCGCTTTGAGCTACTCTTCGATGAATCTTTCAAGTAGATGTCCAAGTTTCTGTCTCTTATATTCTCGTCCTCCGAAACGATGGCGTCATGGACAGCGGCCAGCGATTCCCTGCCAAAATTCCTTGCAGAAAAGGCGGTTCCGGACCAGCTGCAAGCATGCATCCTCAAGGGCGACGCGTTTCGCGCGTATGAAGCCGGATTCAGCGCTCGCGGTATGACGGGTCCGACCAACTACTACCGCACCACGCATCTCAGATACCAGGAGGAGGAGGCCGGGCACATGGCCTCCGAGTTCCCGGCCGACCTCGATGTGCTATCCCTGTACGGGACCCTGGACGCGACTCTTGCTCCCGCCGCTCTGAAGCTCCAGCGCCGTTTCATCACGCGGCTCACGGAAATCCCACTTCCCGATACGGGACATTGGGTCCTGTTCCAAGATGCAACAGTGGACTCGGAGCCGCCGGCTTATCTGGACGACGGAGAGCCGAGTGATCCCCTCAAGGGCTGGCGGGAGAAGATGAGCAGCGGAGCATGGGAGAATGGACGCGGAGATGGGGGCAAAGTCGGGCGTGCGGTTTTGGATTGGCTGTCTGGGACTGCCCTCAAGGGTAGGTTGTAGCGACGTCATTCACTCATTGTGAGCGAGCTAGGCAATCATCATTCATCGCTTGAGACATCGAGACCATCCATCTGCACGCAACCAAAGCACAACGCGCACCATACGTGTGGCATTCGGTTCAGTGGCACGAGCTCTTGACCAGCTCATGATCAATGCGCTTCTCAGCAGGCTTCTCACCTGATCACCTGTGGCTGTGCATCAACGCGAGTGATTGGCGTCGTTTCATGCTACTGTCTTGCTTGGAAACTGGTGCCCTTGTCTGCTTTTGTCCTTCCCCTTCATATCTCCTGGGACCCTCAAAGAATCTTCTCGGCTATTATGAACCGATCAGAATCAGAGCTATTATTGTATGGGCCAAAACACGACCTTGGCTTCCACACCCTTTTGTTCTTCTTGTCCTATGATCGATATGGGGTCGCGGCCCTGCATTTTTGCACACCCGTCTGTTTTGTGGATACTTTAAAATGAAGATGCGATGTCTGCATCCCACCAGTCGCAACCAGCCCACTGGCAATGTCGTCAACGCCTTCGTCGGTCGCTGTTATTGAATCGCCTGTGGAACAACCGTCCGCTTCCACATCGTCTGCAAATAATCCACCTTTACCATCACCCTCGCCAACTATCCCAGACGGCCCGCGGATGGGCATGTTGCCTTTGCCCGATATGGATATCCTGGGGTCGCCGGTGACTGTCGATGCCGACATGTTTCCTCCGGACGAGCTCGATACGGGCATTCCATTCGACCGCGAATTATTCGAACTGCTCACGTCCGTGGACACGCTCATGTACGGCAGCGGCAGCAGCAGTCCCCGCGCGTTCGCACACACCGGGGACCTCCTCAATTCTCCCGACGGCCAGAACATGCTGCAGTTGGATCCCATGACGTTCGAGACTCTGCGGCAGGAGATCGACGATGAGTTCGAGCGTTCGATGCAGCTTGTCTTTGGGTGTCGGTCGTCCGAGTGGCTTGAGGCGGACATGGGCATGTCGCCTTCGGATGCTGAATTCGACCGCCTGCAGGAAGAGTACATGAACACCTTCGGCGCAGAATTTCCCCGTGCGTAGTCATCAAAACTTTCAATTTGAAGACGCCTTGATTGGAGCTCGCAGTTGAACTAGTGCCGCCGCACTTATTGCACGGCGGTCAAGAAACTGAGGCTTGACCTCCTCGTTTAGTCCTGCTTTTTGTTGTATTTCGTACTTGTGCTATCAGACCGTGACACCTGCGCCGCGCCACCATCTCACAACACCGTCCTGTCCACCACTGATGAAGGCACCGGCGCCTCCAGCAGAGGGTTTTGGTCGCCAGGAGACAGACCACACCTCGCCTGTGTCCTGGACTGTAGAGACCGCTGCTCTTGCACCAATATCCCACACTTTGATCGACTTGTCCGCCGATCTGCAATAGTGAGCATGAGTTAAGCAAAGATCAGGGAATCTGCTCCTCACCCCGATAGCCCAAGCTTTCCATCTTGGGATATATCTGTGCTCAGCACCCACGAAGAGTGGCCCGTAAATGAGGCCACTGTTCCACCTTGTGATGTCCGCACGTCGTGCAGCACGAGACGCTTGTCGTCTGATCCGCTCAACAACAACTGTCACACAGGAATGAGTTGGGACCATAGTGACAGCGGAATGCACTTACGCTGGAGTCCGCCGACCAGGACAGTGCTCGAACAGCGAGTGCATGCGACGTGTAGGTCGCAGAAAGCGCGCCAGCTTCGAGATCGAAGATGTAAATCTGGCCCGCCTCCGTTGAGAGTGCGACGCGTTTTCCGTCAGGACTCTGAACGAGGGATCAGAACAAGCACCTCCCGGTTGATCCCTCCCGACGTACGTGTTTACATTTCATCCCGAACTTGGACCGCCCCGACGCGAGCGATGCAACCCGCTTTCCAAACGTCTCGGGATTCGCCGAATAAATCGATACATTCCCTGAGCTACTCGTCGCCGCATAGGTCTCGCCTTGCGGGTGAAGCGAAACGGACCATGCTGGGATGATTCAGTTCCATTGTAGAGTCCAGTGCGGACGAATACACTTGCATGGCTCCGCGCCCTCCGTTCCACGCGCATAGCTCTCGAACTTGGCCGCCACCTGCCCATTCGTAAGATCCCAGAGCGCCGTCAGTCCTTCTATGCTGTTGTACAGTGCGCGTGTGCCATCCGGGGCGACGGAGAGGGAGACGAGCGCTAGAGTGTGGGGGGGAGGGAACTCTGCGTTCGCGGGATGCCGCTGGCCGGTCGAGGAGTTCCACTGCTTGATCGAGCCATCAGCGGAGACGGAGACGACAGTGTCGAGTGCAGTCCATGACGCGCCCCAGATCGCGTCGGAGTGGGCTAGCGGGGCTGCTGTGAGAGATCATCGAGCACATGCAGTTTGAGAAACGCGCACGTTCTGCACAGTCATGCGCGTGGACGAAGGCAAGACTCTGATACGTTCAGTTGAGGAGCAGGATCGCGGGGGTGAACGCGGCGACGCACCATGACCGTCAGTATGAATGAGATAAGAATACAAGTTGAAGCGGCTTCAATGCGTTCGCGCAAAGTTGCGGCTGAGGTCGTGATTTGATGGTATGCCACGTGACTGGAATGTCGTCGCGTCAATACATCACAGCGAAATACTTGTCATTCCTCACTCTCAATCCACCACTTTGTTCTTTCCCTGGCATGCTGGCCTGCTCTTTTGTGGAACTATAAACTTATATCTATGAGTCAACTCTCCAATTCGATACCAGCGCCTTTCGACCTCGACCCTGTCCCACCGAAACATATGCGTCTCATAGACCTAACCGTGCACATCCCAACCCCCTCATCGCGCAGCCGAACGAGCACCGCGCCACAAAATGGGACGCGCTCGAGATGGAGCACTCCAGAGTTCAGGGTGTACACGGTCTTTGCGATGGTCATCGTGGTCATAATGGCTTGGATCCCCTTCAAACTCAGCCTTCGTCCGTCCAGCGCTAGCCTTCCCCGTCTTCCACAAACCTGACATCTACTCTAGCTACGCATCCCAATTATCCTATCTTCTCCAGAAGGCTTTCGCCGGGATGGATGTTCGGTCGCTCCGTCGTACGTCCTTGGTTCATAGACGCGTTTGACGATTGAGCAGCAACTCTAGGACAACAGTGACGCCCAATACCGCGGGTTTAGAAACAACTTCATCCCGCTGACTCTTGCTGCTGTACTGTTTGTCATCGCAAGACGGGTCAGGATGCGGATCCACCGCTCGACCTCACCACCAGCAGACAACATGTTCCTGCTTCGATTCAACTTTGTTGCGTCTATGATCATGCTGTTCGCTCTCCACGGCGCCAGTGCTCTCAAGATTATCCCTATTCTCAGCCTGAACTACTGGATCGCTACGAGTTCTGGGAACTCGATGATAGGACCTGTCGCCAGCTGGGTATACAACGTTTGCGTGCTATTTCTCAACGATCGGTACAATGGATTCAAGTTTGCCGCGATCGTTCCGCCCCTCGCATTTTTGGTGCCTCTCTTCTTACTCGTCCCACCGCTTTAGCTGACGGAATACAGGACGAGTGGGAGGGGATATATCCGCGATGGCATATCAGCTTCAATATCACTATGTTAAGGTTGATCTCGTTCAGTATGGACTATTATTGGGCTTGCAAGGAGACAGCAAGTACTCCTGAGGTGTGCCATTCCTCGCTTCGCTGTGCCTACTTCTGACCATATGTGTAGGGTCAGCTCGACGACCGACAGAGGCAGAGTGTTTCCCACCCACCTGCGATGTACTCATACGTCAACTACACCTCCTACGCCTTGTATCCGCCGTTGTACTTGGCTGGTCCCATCATGTCATACAACGACTACATCTGGCAGGTGAGTGCAGTAGTGGAATGCTTTTCCACTCTGATGCCATGTCTGACGGTGTTATAGCACAGGAAACCTCTTGCTATCACTGGCCAGACTGTAGCGCGATATTTGCTGCGGTTTCTGTTTGCTATGCTGACGATGGAATTCGTTCTGCACTACATGTATGTAGTCGCCATCAAAGACACCAAGGCTTGGAATGGGGACTCGCCCGCCCAGATTGCCATGATTGGGTTCTGGAATCTCATGATTGTCTGGCTCAAGGTGGGGAGATGTCCCTTACGCCGGTCTTGTGCTCACGCAGGCTCTAGCTCATGAATATCTGGCGGTTCTTCCGGCTCTGGGCGCTAGCAGCTGGGGTCGATCCTCCTGAAAACATGATCCGATGCATGGCAAATAACTACTCGACGTTCGGTTTCTGGCGCAGCTGGCACCGCAGCTACAATCTTTGGATTATCCGGTGTGTATCGATTCGTTGGTGGCTCTCTCTCATTAACCTGCATACCAGGTACATCTACGTCCCGGCCGGGGGAACGAACAATGTGATTTTGAATACGCTACTTGTCTTTACGTTCGTTGCGCTGTGGCACGATCTTACATTCCGACTGTTGGCTTGGGGGTGGCTGGCCAGCCTTTTCGTGGTGCCTGAGGTGATAGCGCGGTACATTTTACCGCAGTCGAAAGTGTGTGGCCAGTATTCTGTGATCTCATCTTCGCTGACGAGGGTGCAAGTATGGACACGAGCCTTGGTACAGACATGTGTGTGCCATGGGTGCTGTGTTCAACATCCTCATGTTGATGGCGGCCAATTTGGTTGGCTTTGTGCTCGGTCTTGATGGGATGAAGTTCTTCGTTCAACAATTGTTTGGAACGGGGGAAGGTGCGTTCCTTGGATTTCCTGGACACGGATCCGTCTGACCAACAGCAGGAATACGATTCCTACTGGGCGCCTGTGTATGCTTATTCGCCGGCTCTCATTTGATGTTCGAGTATCGGTGCGCATTTTGCCTGAATATTTCAGTGCTTTGACCACTCAACTTACAATCAGGGAGGATGAAATGAGAAATGGGATCTTTAGGAGATGTTAGGGTTTCTATTCTCGTAGAAACAAGTTTTAGGATTGTGCCATCTACAATGGAAGCTGTCCCGTCTGATGCGGACAGTCGCTGTGCCTGTAAAGTTGAAGTTTGCGCAGTGAGTCAGACAGGCACACAGGGCCGGCAAACCCCGCGGGGTTCCCATGAGTCACTGATGCTTGAGCATCGTAGGCACTTGACTGGTTGTGTCAATCTGCCTTGGGGATCGGAGCGTTGAATATCGGCGCGGCAGGAGCGCGAGCGGCTGACGCGTCGTTGGTCGTGTTTTCAGCGGTGGCAGCGCACACGAGCCATCACTAATCGTCGATCACCGGACGGGGACCGAACGCCGAGGTCACGCCTGGACAATCTCCCGCTTTTCCGTTTTGGCTTTGTAGTTACCCTCTCTTCTCCTTCTCCCTCCGACTCTCACATTACAGCCATGGCGTCCGAGCCATCGTCGCCTCGCACCCCGACGCATCCGGAGACCCATCAGATGCTTCCACTCTCCCCAACGCAGGCGACACCCTTTCTGTCTGAAGTCGGCGGCACCAGCACCCAAGCATCGCGCTCGTCGTCCTTTGTTTCCTCTCCTTTGAATCCCTCGAGTCCCACAACCCCAGGAGCAAGCACCCCGCCGTATCCCACCCGCCACGCCTCATCCTCACGCCCCACATCGCGGGGGAGCAGCATGAACTTCGGGCGTTTCGCTGCGTCGCCTGACGAAACAGGCGTCATGGGGCCCGGACCGTACCCCTTCTCGCGCGAAAGCATGCTGAACGGCACGGCGTCATCGCGCGGGAGCATGGTGCTCTACCGCTTGGCGGACGAATCGGACCGGGCGAGCCTGCTAGTGCCGCCACGCCCCATGGGCGGCGCGGGCCACAGGAACAGTATCGCGTCGTTTGCGTCCACGTCGACGATGGCGACGGACTCAAAGTACCCGTCCGACCACCAGTCGACGCGCGGTCTCGTGCCGTACGCGTACGATCCAGCCGCGGACGAACTGGACCCGCTGGACGACGAGGACTTGGTGCTCGATCCGGCACACGGCACGAAGATGAAGGACGGGTATCAATCGCCGCGTTCGTCCAAGCAGCACCGGCACTCGTTTCCGTGGCGTGGCATTGCCAACTTGGGGATGCTGATATTGGTTATACTAGCCCTGCTAGCGCTGTTCATAAGCTACCCCGTGATCTCCTATGTCCGCAATTCGCCGCTAATTAGGCTCCTCGACTCGAACGCGCGGGTTAACGGGACGGGGCAAGTCGCCGTGCAACCGAACATGCCACAGCTGGTGGACCCCGATACGCCGAAATCGGCGCATACACGGACGGGCTTCGATGGGAAGCCGTACACGCTGGTGTTCTCGGATGAGTTCAATGCTGACGGGCGGACGTTCTACCCCGGCGACGATCCGTACTGGGAGGCCGTGGACTTGTGGTACGGAAACACCAACGACCTGGAGTGGTACGACCCGTCACAGATCGTCACTCGCGACGGTAGTTTGATCATCACCATGGACTCGACGTCGACGACAGATCCCAGGCAGAGCGTTGGTGCGATCCTGTGCCGTGCTTTACCAGTCTAGTATTCACCGATGTCCAGGTTCGACGGCGCCTTTCACCGTGGAGGAAAACCACAATCAGACCTATCGCAGCGGAATGCTACAGAGCTGGAACAAAATGTGTTTCACCAGGTGCGATCCGAACTCGGCATCCGTTGGCGCGAGCTTACCTTTTGGTCAGAGGTTACATGGAAGTGTCACTTACGCTCCCAGGGCCGAACGCCAATGCTGCGGGCTACTGGCCGGGTGTGTGGACCATGGGGAATCTTGCCCGGCCAGGATATACCGCAAGCACCGACGGAACATGGCCGTATACCGTGAGTTTCCAAGCTGTCCGACAGTCAGCATTTTGGTTGACAGAAACCCAGTATAGCACCTGTGATCTCGGCACGTTTCCGAATCAGACGTTGGCGGATAAGTCCGGCCCGCCTGCAGCTCTCAACTGTCCTGCCTGCTCCGGAAAATACAAGTTCGAGCTGAGCTGGCTGAGCGGCCAAAAGCTTTCTGCTTGCTCTTGCCCCGGGTCCGACCATCCGGGTCCTGATGTCACTGTCGGCCGCGGTGCACCCGAAATTGATATCCTGGAAGCCGAGAGGAACAAGATAGCTGTGGCCGGCCAGGTCGTCTCCCAATCGGCTCAATTCGCGCCATTCAACGCGAACTATCAATACGTTAATACAACGACGGCGTCTTGGCAAGTCTTCAACTCCAGTATCTCGCGGGCGAACAACTACAGAGGCAGCGGCGTCCAGCAGGCTGTCAGCGGGTTGACTGAGGTGCCAGGGACCGGGTTCCAGGGCAGCGGGGCCGATTTCATCACATATGGGTTTGAATACTGGAGTGACCCCAAGGATCCTTCCACTGGCTTCATCACGTGGCAGGTCAATGGCACGGAGAGCATCAGTATGGGTGCCAGTGCCGTAGGACCCGATGTGGATTCCAAGATCGGACAGCGGCTGATCCCCGTCGAGGTGTGTGTGCTTAGTCGTCCAATGATGGAGACTGATTGGTGTTGTCCCTCCAAGCCAATGTCCCTCATCCTTAACCTGGGCACTTCGCGTCAGTGGTGACAACTCCAGTCTCTGTGTCTCGTTTGCTGACTCGAGCACAGCGAACTGGGGGACACCGGATCTGACGACCATGGTCTTCCCCGCAGAAATGCGGGTGGACTATGTGCGGATCTACCAGCGCGACGGGGAGACCAATCTGGGATGCGATCCGAAGGATTATCCGACCAAGGATTACATCGACCGACATATGGTTGCCTTTACCAGTGTGTTATCTCCCATCAGCTCACATGACCCGTCGCTCAACTGAATCTGGTGCAGATCCCAATCTCACTACCTGGCAGTGGGACAAGCCTCGGAATTCATTAGTGCGCTTGCTGGTTGCTTCCTCTCTCTGCATTTTGGAAACTGATGGGTTTGTAGTACCACGGCGGATGTTAACGTTGATGTTGATGTCTGCAGTCCTGCGAAACCTCGGAACCATACAAGTATCTTCTAGGATCTCGTTAATGTGATACCTCGACACTCGCTTACAAGATCTCAACTGCATCATTCATTGTATTACTTATACCAGGGCTTCACCGGTAGCTTACATCTGTTTATTGGCTAGATACCATGGGACTTTTTGCGCCGGGACTTCGAGATCGCTGTGGATCACCAAGTGATTGGGTCCCACCCAACTCAGTCTGAGAATTTGAGTGAATCTCTGATTAATGGTGGGTAATATTAGGTACGCATGCGCTCTCTACATCTTGAAGTCCTTCTAGATCTATGTAGACTTGATGCCGACCGCGGACGTGCCCGCGCTCTCGGCCCACTCCTTGCTCTCCATCTGGACCAGCCGTGAGCATGCCCTCGCAAATGCAAAGATCTCCTCCTCCCCCGTGAACATGGAGCTCTTGAGCAGATCCGCCGTCAGTCCCTGTAAAGGAGATCGTAAGCGGCCCGGATGGTAGTTGATATGATATGTCGGCGGCGGCGTACCAGTTCTTCCATTGTTTCTCGCATCTCCGCTGTCACCTCCCCAGATTTGGCATCCCCAGAGAAGACCTGGTATATCGGCACTTCGGACGAGATGAACAGCCGCGTCTTGCTCTCGTAACATGCTGCGGGAGACATATCAGACGATCGAGCACGGACAGGGAGAATGCAGCAAGCGACACGTTCACAGACCATCGATGAATGTGATGAACCGCCGCGCCAGATCCTTCCGGTCGACCCCGATCTTCCACACATCGAGCAGAAAGATGGTCCCGAAGACACGCGTGATCTCGATGTAGTCCGCGGCGCTCAGCGGGTTCTCGCAGAGTTGTTGGAACGTGAACTTGGCGACGGTCGACGTCGATTCGGGCACGAGGAGCGTGCGGCCCCAGATCGTAAGTTTGCGGTCGCGCACCACGGGGTCTTCTTCGGAGTGCAGAGAATCAAAGATTGATGCCATGGTCTGTGCGGTTTCCGGAGAAAGCGGATGATGGTACGGCTTGACAGAGGACGGCACTCGTGCCATTCGCCGGTAATCTGAGCAAGATGAGCTGACCATCGGAAGCGCGCCAGGGCTGCACGGACCTGTGCCCGAGTCCAAGTCGGTGACCTCAAACTGCGATTTCAGCAGTTCTATGGCAGGAATAAAACTCGATCGCTGGATTCCGTTCTTGTAAAGGTCGTCGGGATGCCGACTGCTCGGAGCGTGAGTGGCGGTACAACTTGCCGAGCGGGACGGTAAACCCACTTGGACGTGATGACGCAAACGACCCCAAAGTTCAACAAACTCTCCAACAGCCGGCGCAGGATCATGGCGTCTGCGATGTCAGTCACCTGCCGGGGGATCAATCAGAGAGAAAACAGGGCGCGCGCGAGACAGATGCAACGCACCTGGAACTCATCGAAGCAGAGAACGGACGCCTCGTTCGCCAGGTCCCGCGCAACAGGCAGTATAGGGTCGCCACTGCTGCCCTTGCGCGCTTTCACGGCGTGGATGCGCTTGTGCACGTCGATCATGAACGCGTGGAAGTGCACCCTGCGCTTGCGCGTGATCTCCGGGGGCAGTGTCGAGTAGAAAAGGTCCATCAGCATCGTTTTTCCGGTGCCCACGTCTCCATAGAGGTACAACCCTTTCGGGGCGTCTGCGGGCGGAGCAGCAGGTTCCGGGGACGACGTGCGGCCCAGGAGGCGAGAGAACTGCGCTGCAGGGATAATGACAAACGTTCCGAGATGTAGTATTGGAAGCGCACAAGTGACGATCCCGATGATGAGGCGGGGGAGGGGGAGACGCGGGGTGGATCGTATCCCACTAATTTATCGTGCAGGTCTTGCAGTTTCTGGATGATGCGCGTTTGGTGGTCATCGCCTCGCAGTGTCCCTTGCTTGACGAGTGTCCGATATCGAGGGAAGGGGGCTGAGGGAGCGTGAATGGTGGGTATCAACCAGGAAACGTTTCCCCATACCATTCGCATTGGAATGAGTTGCTCCGGAACTTGCTGTTGCGCCAGAACTTTCCGATTGGGCTCGGATGAGTGGGGTCACATGCAGTTTCCTTCGATAGGGCCCTAGTTTTAATGTTCCGGTGCGTCCAAGATACAGTCCGCGCGCTACTGAAAGCAGACGCAGGGACCTCATGGGAGACGGAGACGAAGAGCTAGTGATGACATAAGAAACGGCCCATATCGCCGATAAAACCGATAACATTCTCTCTCTCATCTTTTTGTGGTACCTAGCTTATGTTTATAAGCGCTGCGAAGCTCATACATTTACATATTTTTGGCAAGGACATACATCTATACAATAAGTAGGTGGGGTGTTCAACACCATATATCCTTTCAAAGCTTGGGCGCAACTCAAAAGAACAGCGATCTCAAGGCTCGCTGATATCGCCTGACTGTCGAAATTTGTTCGCTCTGCACCTTCCTCCGTAAGCGACACATCCCAGGTAACTGAGAAGCTGCAGGGGCAGATTGAGTCGCGATTCCGCCGGAACCAGAGGTTTGCGGCTCGCCCGGTAGTGTCGTCGCACTGAGCCCAGGTTGGGTTGTTGGGGTCGCAGGCGGCGAAGGGGATCCACCCGCAAAAGCCGCGATCGGGGGTCCAGGGAAGCTATAAGGAGCACCTGTATTCGTGTACACCTTGAACGTGGGTCAGTCCGAGAAACACGTGAACTAACGAGACAATCAATCCACGCACATCGACTAGAATGCCAGGATCTGTCGCTGAATACGCCCCGGGGAACTTGACCAGCTCGCTGCTCGTCGGGGCCCCAGTGCCCGAGCCGCCGACCTTCAGCTGGCTGCAGCTCGCGTAGAATTCAGCACCACCCTGGCTGCCGCCGTTCTGCAGCGCGATTATCTCGTGGCGCAGAAGGTAGTTCCCTGCTGCGAGGTTCGAAGGAAGGTTCAGTGTTGCAGGCGCGCCCGAGTCTGGTCATGGCGAACGAATGGATGAGTGAATGGACCACGAATAGAGATAGGCACGCACTCAGCTGAGCCTGCGCCCAACCGGACGCATCCCTCCCCGCCTCCTCGATCTTGAACCACTGCGCCTGCGACGCGTCGAACTGATCACACGTCTGGGACCCGCAGTTGGCGAGATAAGTCAGGAGCGGGCCGACGTCATGGAACCAGGGTCCCTCCGTGGAAACCCAATCCACCGCGATCGCATCGCCCGGGTTGGCGTTGGCGATCTGCGATGCGGGCTGCGCGTGCGGTCCGCACGACAGATTCGGATCGGAGACAGACGTGACGGGGGAGTTGGTGTCGACTTGGCGGATGACCGAGGGTCCACCGGTGGTCCCGAGTCCGTTTCCCTGATACACCGTTCCAGCGATAGTGATATGGCCGACCCAACCATGGGCGACGACTGTGCGGACGAGCAGACCAGTGCCGACGACGATCCAGGACAAGAGCATGGATTCAGAGTAGGTATGAGATGGGCTTGTCTCCGCTGCGCTGCATGCTTGTGTTCTTGAAGTGGCCTGCCTCGTGCGATCAACCTTGCTAAAACGTGTTGAGAACAAGAATGAGGTTAATGAACAGTTCCATCAAAACGCAAGATCTTCAGACTTTGCCGCCCATGCAATGTGCAGGCAGCAGTAGCACAGAGACTATGCAATTAGGCGACGAGATACGCGCTCACCATATTCGCTTGTTATCAACCGGGGTGTCCTCGTCACCCCAAAAACCAGTCGCGAACACTGGAACATGCTTTCTGACCACCCCTCATGCCTACCTTCGTTCGAGCCGGCCTCGGTCTCAATTACGTTGTACTCGAACCGTTTCGCATCGGGTATGCCGCCGCCACCATGTATCCCTCAACAATTCCCATCCCAGGCAGCCTCAGCACTTTGCCATTCCAAACCAATGACGGAACATAAGAATCCTCGTCCTCATCCGCGTCCTCATCATTTGTGTAGTTGGTTCATTTCGAGATGCGATGTACACACTCATGGTCGGCTATGAAGAAGCGACAGGTGGCTGTGACATCTTTCACATCGACGCGGCCATTCATCATGTCCTCCGAAGAGATCTTCAGAGACCTCCAAAACTGGCTCGAGACCAATGGCGGATCGTTTCATCCTCAAGTTCACCTGAAGCAAGGTGAGATCTCGGGACGACGCGCAGGCGGGGAAACAGTGTGATTGATGCGACGGCTGCTGCCGCCCCAAGTCGCCTCGGGATTCGCGGTCGTGGCCGCGACGGCGCTTCCTCCCGACAGCCAGATCGTGGCGTGCCCGTTCTCGCTCGCGATCACCAAAGAGCTTGCTCTAGAAAATCTCGGGAAGATCCTCGGCCCGAGTGCAGCGTTGCAGAACTGGTCTGCCAGGCAGCTCATCTCGTGCTATCTTTGCTTCCACTCGATCATCGCGGATGGCACGGAGCTCAGGCATGTTCCTGTTTCATAAGCTGTATAACGGGCGCCTGATTTGTGGCTTCTCGCAGCTCTCATCTGCTTCATTTCCCTTACATCAAGTCGTTGCCCGCCAGGGACAAGCTGCGGACGACTTTGCATTTCACATCCGATGAGTTGGGCGCATTGAAAGGCTCGAATCTGTTTGGAGCGACTGCAGACCGTGGGTCGTCTTCTCTCCCGATGGCTCGGCTGATGCTCGTGCTGTCCAGGTGAACGGGATTGGCGAGCAGAATGGGATGAATGCCGGACTGAGATCTCTCGCATCAATCACCAGTGGGGAATAGAGCTGACCTGGTTTGTCTTTTGTGACTGCATCCTATACCGTATATCGACCATCGCAGGGAACGCTTTCTGACTGCTGCGACTCATCTCTCTTCACGCGCGTTTCCGTCAACCCTCTTATCCCGATCCCTGTCTCCCGGCTCGCCTCTCACATCCGATGAGAACTCAGAGCCGATCCTCCTTCCGGGGATTGACTCCCTCAATCACGCGCGCGGGGTACCGGTGTCGTGGGTACAATCGTACTCCGGCGACGGGCACGCGTCAAGCATCTCATTGGTCCTGCACACCCCGACCGCAGAAGGCGCGGAGCTGTTCAACAACTACGGCGCCAAGCCCAACTCGGAGCTGATTCTGGGCTACGGGTTCACACTCGAGAACAACCCCGATGACACCATCGTGCTCAAGATCGGTGGCATGGGCGGGAAGCGGTGGGAAGTCGGCCGTGGCGCCCGCGGCGCAGAGGACGTCTGGGCGACTGTGCTTGAGCGGGTCAAGGATGAAGCCGAGTCGGAGGAGACGTATGAGGATTATCTCAATGCAGCAGAGGCGTTTGAGGAGATGGTTTGGACTTTGGCGGAGAAGTTACCGCCTGCTCCCGAGGCGGAGGGTATGAGAGAGGACGTTCGCGTGATGGTCACCCACTATCTCGAAGGTATGTGTGTAATCATGTATGAACCTCTCTTGGGGCCCGTTTCTGACCACAGCACAGGTCAGAGAGCGATCTTGAATGCCCTGATCCAATTCGCGCAAGCAAAAGAGGCGATCGGGCTGCAAATGGCTCGAGACCAGGGCATAGAAGTCGTAACGGAAGACTAGTATCTGTGATATAAAAAGTTGCTGTATCGCCAAGGGACCGGCACCGTTCACTCTCCCCTGTTCAGTCGAATGCCACTTCCAGCCGACTCAAAACAGGCACTTTAGGCGCTTCCGATTGTTCGGTCCCGATTGACATGAATGCGACCCTAAAATGTACCCGAAAGTCGCACAGGGTCGTATCAGGGCCAATGATCTGAATGTTCAATCGCCGTTATCGCTCGTGCTTTGTTCTTATGCACGACGATGGCCTCGAAACAGCACTCCCACAGTGAGTAGCAAGCAATGCAGCATCGCACGAAATCACTGAACACCCTCCTAGGCCGTAAATGTCAGGACGTGAGTGGGGCAATCATGACTCGTCGCTCGGTGTCGTGATTCTCCAAGACCGCTGCTGCTCTCTGCGCCGCCCTCAACCTGACGGACAGACCACAAATATTCGAGCCCGTGGCCGCTCACATCCGGAAACGCGTCGATAGTTGCATGGACCTCCTTCGCCCACCTTTCGATCAGCCCGAGAATCTCCACAAGTTGGTGAAGCAGGTAACATATTGCGTTGCTCTGCCGCAGAGACACAAGAAGTGACATGCAACAGCTGAAGCGGGACTTTCCCGGTCTTTTCGATCGCCACCAGGTCAAGGGCGAGACGGTTCTGAATGAGCGAGTCCAGACCTTGAAGGCCTATGCTGCGAGTCTGGTCTATGCAAACTCAGAGCACCTCGCTGCGGAAGATGCTAAGGTGTGTCCTTATGTGTGAGCGAGCGTGCTCTTCCGACGCCTCGGCTCACCCGGAGTTCACCAGAACTTCCGGGCATCGACACCGAACTGGGAAGCGTCGTCCGCTGGGTCGAGCACCGAAGTTGGCTCTGCGTGCGAGCCCTTTTGCAGAGATGAGGAGAAGAACGACGAGGACGAGGTCTTGGAGCCACTATCGTCATCACCCAGATTCGAGATGGAGGCACATCTCAGCTATTCAATCGAAGAATTCCTCTCCGACCTCAGGCCTAGTATGATCCACCGGGCGCCTACTCTTCGAGGCACGGGAGTCACCGAACTTGCTCATCTGATTGGGATGTCCCATTGGGCTGAATCCAGGCTCCGTTCTTTCTTGTCCTCGACTGGTGTCGCGGCGAATGCTTTCGAGGAGGAAGCACTTATTATTGGGTTCGAGGTAAGCAAGAGCTCCGGGGCTTACTGAATCTGATCATTCGTGATCTAGGCGTTGAGAGGATCCATATTATACCACGAGTCCTGAGATCGCACATGTTTTTGTTACATTCTGAATACACCAAAACCTTTGCCGCCAGTCTCCTGCCTTCCGGACTTGCGAGAAGCCAGTCCAAGCGCCAGCCCGACAGCATCTCGGGTGTCTTCAGGTCGGATGATGCCGTCGTCCCACAGTCGCGCGGTAGAGTACAGGGCCGTGGACTGGTGTTCGATCTCGGATTGCAAAGACGCGTGCTGTGAGGGATCTCTGCGATTGGGGGTCAGAGAGAGTCCAAGATAATCAAAGAGGTCCCACTTTGAGACGCTCGTCATGACCTGCGACAGCTGTGAGGAGCCCATGACAGAGATTTTCGCGTTCTGTGTTCGGTGAGCGCATGTTTCCTTGTGTCTGAATAGAGACCTACCGGCCACATCCACAAAAATCGCGGCGAATACTGCCAAATGATGATCAGTAAAGACACTCGAGAAAGTCCAGATGCATACGGCTCGACCGGCCATTCCTGTTGATTGCTTTCAGAACCCAACACATCGAGTGCAATGGTCTACGCACCATAGTTCCCGGCGCCGAACGAGCCGCCGACGATGACAGTCAATTTGGGGACGTCCGCACAGGCCACAGCACGGACCATCTTTGCTCCTGGACGGATGTGAGCTCGGTGGTTGAGTGAACGCGGAGTCTCACGCACCGTCTTTGGCGATCCCTCCTCGCTCAGCCTTGGACCCGACCATGTAGCCGGTGACGTTCACGAGGAACAGCAGCGGGATCCCCCGTTGTGAGCACAACTCAATGAAGTGCGTTGCCTTCAAGGCCGAGGGCGAGAACAAGATCCCGTTGTTGGCGCAGATGCCCACCTCATAGCCGTGGATGTGAGCGAAACCCTGCACCGATCAGCCTGCATTCAAGCACAGCCAAAAACGCGTACAGTCAGCATGGTCGTCCCGTACTCTTTCTTGAATTCCCGGAACCGGCTGCCGTCCACAATGCGCGCGATGACATCCCGCATGTCGAATGCCTGCCGGACGTCGGTGCCGACGATCCCGCCCAGTTCGGACGCAGAGTACAGTGGGTCTTCGGGTTCAGATGATGGAAGTCCTGCAACACCGGCCGCACGGCCGAGGTCACCCATCACGTCTCTGGTTATGGAAAGCTGATCATCCGCTTTGAGTCGGCGGAAGAGTATGTGTTTCTGCAGCACTGACCGCATGCTCGTCATCGTTTGCCAGATGGTCAGTCACCCCGCTCTCGCTGGAATGCATCATTCCGCCTCCGAGGGTCTCTTCGTCGACCTCTTCTCCCGTTGCGGCTTTCACCAATGGAGGTCCCGCGAGGAAGATCCGGCCCTGGTTGCGCACGATGATATTCTCGTCTGCCATGGCTGGCACGTAGGCACCACCAGCGACGGAGATTCCGTGAATAGACGCAATTTGCGGGATGCCCGATGCGGACATCTGCGCCATGTTGTAGAAGATCCTCCCAAAATGCTCCTTGTCTGGAAAGACGTTGGCTTGGTGTGGGAGCGCCGCTCCTGTTTTCCGAGATTTTCATGGTGGGATCAGAGTGTACAGTAAGACGTACCACCAGACTCGACTGTAACAGCGCTGTCAGCTATGGGCTCTGCACTGGGTACGACGGCTGTGCACTCACCGACGTAAATGCAAGGCAGATGATGCTCCCGCGCAATCTCCTGTGCACGCAGCTGCTTCTTGACAGTGAGAGGATAGTACGCGCCGCCCTTGACGGTAGGGTCGTTCACGATGATCATGCATTCGCGACCGCGCACACGTCCGATACCTGTGATGAGACCCGCTCCGGGGACATCTTGACCCGGATACACGTCGTGCGCCGCCAGAGGCGAAAGCTCCAGGAAAGGCGTGTGCGGGTCGAGCAGCAGCGATAACCTGCGCGCGAACTGGTCACCACACCGGCTTTTGAGTGTGAGGGGAGTGGCGCGATGACGCACCGTTCCCTGGGCAGCTTTTTGCCTCGACTTCGGAACTTCTCGGCGGTTTTGGATCCTCCCCCCAGCCGCGCTCTCGCCATCTTGCTCTCGAGGTCCTTCACCAACGCGTCCATAGCTTCGGATTTGGCCAAGAATTCGGGCGAGGCCGTGGACACGCGCGACGGCAGCACAGTGGCATGGTAGGATCTCCTTTGGACCTTGTCGATGCGTGGGATGCACTTCTCGGTTCTGCGTAGAATTCTGCGATACAGAGACTGCTGCATCTCGCTGAAGCTATCGAACGCCTTATGCTCTGCTGGATGCCAAGTTCGCGACTTGAACAAGGCGGGGAAAGTGCGGGGAAGATCCGAGCCGATCACTTTGACGTGACTGCTGAATGGGGAAAGACGATAAGATGAGATCCGGATAATCATGATCTCCAAAGTTATTGAGATTGACTGGTCGATGGTCCAGGGAATACTTGAGGCAGAGAATGTACAATGCGTGTGTACCCGATACAGAATCCGTAGAGATAAGATAAGCTCTAGAAGTCCTTCCACTCATCGTCCCAGTCACTGACATTGCTCTTCTTTCCTGGAGCGGCAGCACTCGAGGAGGCAGAGGTAGCTGGCACAGACGTCGGCTGGTCATAACCATGCCCCGCAGTCTTGTACTCTGAGAAAAGGTCGTCATCGTCGTGGTACAATCCGGACGTCTCCTCATGGTCCATCCCACTTCCAATCGTGCCGTACCCACTGGCCGCAGGCGACGCCCCAAACCTGTCCCGGACAGTGCCCACAGCGTCGCCCATATTCTGAGCGACGTCGACACCGAACTGGTTCTTGGACCACTGGTTTGCGACCCCGCCAACAGCCGCAGCGCGTTTCTGAGCCTCGCTGACGTATCCCATAACGTTCGCATGCAGAGTCGGATCCCGCGCTTTCTCCAATCCCGGTTGGATCACATTCTCAGAAACAACACGCGAGGCACCAGCGACTGCGGCAGAGAACAACGACCAGCCCTTGCTCAATGCCGCGGTGGGATTCTCCTGCAAGTCGGCCAGTGTCGGTGCAGATCTCGACGACAGTCCGTAGGAAGGATGCGACGAGTCCGGGGGCGGAGTCGGGGTACTGCCAAATCCCTGGTATTTCCCGCCTTGAGATGGCGGAAGGTCAGCGGAACGCGAGGCGTTCGCTTGCCCGAGTCCCGCAAAGAAAGACTCGTTGGCGGCCTTCTGATCGAAAGCTCCGGCAGAAAGATCCGGTGTGCGTGGCGAATTTCCTCCGAACGACGCTGGGGACGCCGAGTCGCCCCGGAGTGATTGTCCGGTAGCAGAACGGGCAGATGCCCGGGATTTACGCATGCCTGCCGAGTCCGACGAGCTGGGTAGTGAGGGCGGAGGTGGGGCGGATGGCGTCCATGGTTTCCCGGCGATTTCTGCGTCGAGCTACCGCGCGCGAGTGAGACATTGAGATGGATGGACGGAAAATCCGGACACACCTTTTCCCGATATTGAGATGCGGCCCAACAGTGATAGATTTCGTATGGCGAGTTGGTCTCCTTGTATCCTCCTTGTTCCACAGGTGTGTACGAAGCCATAAACTGCTTGAACGCAGCATTCCCACCGATCTGAATAGGTAAATGCCAGTGATGCTATCTTGAGCTATGCAACGGACCTGCATCCTTTTCAGTTGGTCGGCCTGCCAGGTGTCCATCGATATCGAGCGTACGAAGCTGAATGACGCGACTCTCCATGATCAGACGCTCCAGAACCACTCAATATACGTACCTAATGTGAACTCCGAACCCTCTATGTGTGCCAGCACATTGTAAGCAGAGAAATACAGCAAAGCTGCGGAGGATTTGTGATATGGTCGATGTCCCCCAGCGTCGAGCGATGTGAAACGCACCCGAGGGAAGCCCATTGCGGATTGGGATTGCCGCAGTCGCAGCAGAGCTTATTCTCTGTCTTGACCAGCTCCTGGAGGGCCTTCTTCGCTGCGCTCTGATCCAATGCCATGTGTATCGGAGCACAAGAGATTCGTGTGGCACGTGGCTGACTACTAATTACGCTCTCATTGGACGCGAGTCGCGATTGACGCGTTCTCAACGGCGTGCGTCCATTGTCGCGATAAATATCTCAACAATTCGTGCCAATGAATGAACGGATATGGGGCGAGAACGACGGATAAGGGGGCTAGCGGTCTGCGGGCAGTTTGACCGTGACTCGGATGTTGTCGATTGACCACCGGAATCCAGACTCTCATTCCAGATCTTCTATGAAAGTATGCACCTTCCGGTAGATTCTGGCTCGGAACAAGTACATACCATCGAATTGAAATTTGTCAGGAAGGCCTGGTGGCCTTACTTCTGGCAGCCCGCTCGGATCGTGGCTGTACCGCTTTGAGTTCCTTCTCTTCCTCCCCCACCTCTGATCACTTAGCGTGGGTTCCGTCGTCAAACGCAACCTTCCCAGTCTTACGGGTCGCCTCTCCTGATTGGTTCTTCAAGACCGTATCACCACTTCCCTCGTGTTCTGTCTCGACGATCGACCTCACACGTAAACGACCCCTGATATAAACTCAGCAACGTAACAGCTTGGACACCTCCCCCGCCATGATTCAACATCTGAGTCCCCGCAAAATCATATCGGAGGTGGCTTCCGTCAACCAGACTGGGATGGAACAATGGGGGAGATGGGTCGGGCGCCAGTAAATTCCGCCCAGCGCTGGGGTCATCCGTGGGCTCACCAATCTGTTCCTTTCTCAGTCACTACTCTTTGGAGATGGTGCAGCACCCCCTGCGAGCGAGGATGTGCGGTTTCGGAGACAAGGTGTGTTCTGCGATATGTTCTCTCTGCAGTGCATCATAATCGTCTGTCAGGATCGAAGGCCCCTAGCACCGGCAGCGGTCGCGCGTTTAGTTGTCAAACGGGAGGACGGGACCCCTCTTGATGTCGAGTGCGTTGCTCTACGTCTATTGCGCAATCGTGAACACCTTTCCAGTGATTTGGATTACTCTTTTTTCTTGGTGACTGTTGATTTATGGTCGGAAGACGGGGTCCTTGAACGGAATCTCGTCTTGCATCCAACGGCAGAGCGCTATCCCCCGGCGCAAGCGCCCAAGCAGAGACGTGCACGAGGAGGGAGCACGGCTGCACCTAGTTCCAGTAACTCTCGGACATACACGCCGACACCAACGCCAGCTGCAGCCCAGTTTAGCGGATCTGTGCGCACCATTCATCTTTCTTGAAACACCAATTTGAGCTTTCCCGTTACAGTCGCCTCACACAGGACCGCCAGGATCGAATTATAGTAATCCGAATTACTACACAGCCCAATCACCTGCTCCTGTAGGGACGAGTGCTTTTTCTTCCCCCATACTCCAAGCACAACCTCCGCCGCTGTCTTCCACTCATCCTACGTGGGGCTATTCGTCGACTGCAAGCACACTTCAAGCAGATCGGGCAAATCCGGGCTATTCCGTACCGGCCCTTCCCCCGATCCAGTCCTTCAGCCCACGTTCTGGTCCCGAGAGCCAGCCTTGGAACCCTGCTCATCCAGCATCTGTCCCAGAGCCGACGTATCGGCCATGGGGCACAGACACTCATACGTCGTACCCCGATCCTTATGCCGGTCCTTCGACCTCACAACAGCAGTATGATCCTGCGCTGCTAAATGCGAATCCGGGACCATATCCCCCGGCTCCACCGGCAGCGCAGCCAGCTCATTTCCGCATGCCGTATGTCCGGACGCTCATTGGGCCACTGTCTTCCAATGGGTACCGGTTACTTGATGAGCACCGCAAGGCAGGGATATTCTTCTTGTTTCAGGATCTTTCCGTTCGCACAGAAGGTTGGCGAAACCCATTTGGGCTCTTACCAACTCTCATCCGTTCCTAGGCACATTCCGACTGAGGTTGCGGCTGATGAACATCGGAGGGTGCGTCTGTTTTGGTATCCTCTGTTCTTGCGGACTCTGAGCATGCGAAATCAGGCCTCCTGCGCCTGAGCGGGGGGCAACATTTGTTTCGACCAAACCGTCGTCTGTGCTATCGCAGATTTTCTCGGAGCAATTTACGGTTTACTCTGCCAAACGGTTTCCGGGAGTTCCAGGTACTTATCGGAGGAAGCCTTGATTCGAGTCCAAGGCTGATTTCGACACTCAGAAACCACTGCGCTGTCGATTGCACTGGGCAATCAAGGGCTCAAACTTCCTTTGGTAGGTCTCCATCACTCCTGTTGCTTGCTCTCACAGTCCCCCAGCGAAATCGAAACAAACGAAGACGGGGTGACGGATCCGACGACGATTCGGATGGGGATTAAAATGTCTTGTGACTACTTTTTATTAAATGGACTGGATGTGCGACTCGGTGTATGGAATGGAATTAAAGGCGGTAACCCTAACCTCATCTAAGTGGCTGGTCACAAACCGGCCGATGTACCAAGCGTCGATAGCCTGAGGTCGGCTGCGCCATCGTCCCCCTCCGCCGACTCAGACATCTTTTACAAATTTGAATGGAGTCTGGATATGTAGATTCAGAGGCGGGACCCAACCGTCCCCTTCAAGTCCCGCTGAATCTGCGGTGTACCGCGCCGACATGACATTGAGAGGCCAGCGTAGGCACACTAACATGCCACAGAGGGATAGATGTCAAAGCGACTGGTGAGAATTAACGCGATCAATCAATCACCGGTAAGTCCGAAAACTTTTCGCTCCATTTCGGAGTTCCATGTTTCGAGCAGTCACGACGGCGTCGACGAGCTTCGCAGCTCCATCAAACCCTTTACGCTCTTTCCTGGTTCGGACTGTCATGAGTTCCTCGTCTCGCGGACCTCCCTCGACAGCGCCTCAGGTCCGAATGCCTGCGTCACGAAACCACCGCCGGCCAAGAGGGCCACCATATGCCAAAACAGCGCACAGTGCAGCGGCAGTAGCCGTGGCACCCACCGCGCATGAGCCAGTCGCAGTCTCTTCCGCGCCCAAAGACCAGACACATGTGTCCGGACGTACTTTTGCGAGCGCTCCCATTTCTGAGGCGTCCAAGAGAGGTATAAAGCATGAGTGCGTGGCAGATTTGCGCGTTTTCTTCGCGCTAGGCTGACTTTTGCTCGCCGCTTCAGGTTCATGTCGGATGTTCAAGGTGTGTGGACGCGTGCTTTCGAATGCCATTCGAGACTGATCTTTGTTTGAAGCTGCGACGCTGGATGTGGGCGCTTCATCGTTATCCTCTATGTGGATCTAAGCGTTTCTTCAGGCGGGACTTTCTGGCATAGATCTTCTTGTGCAGGCTAAGACCGGCACGGGCAAGACCCTGGCCTTCCTTCTGCCATCGGTGGAAAGACTGGCGAAAATGGAGCTGGCGCCGAGAAAGATTTCGATGCTGGTGCTTTCTCCGACTCGGGAGCTAGCTCTGCAGGTGTGTTCGCTTGACTAATATCCAACGCACGGCTATTTACTGTGGTCAACCGGGGAGATAGAGGCAGAGGCTAAAACCCTCATTGCCAACCACTCATTCGACGTAAAACATGCTATCGGTGGAACGAAGTGGGTGGATAAAGTTATAGGATGCAGAAAGGTGTTAACCGAGTGCCCAGCATGAACGCGACAGGCAAACGGATCATGGAAAGCCCTCCGCGCATTCTCATCGCGACACCTGGACGATTAATTGACCATCTGGAAAACACTGGCAACTTCTCGCACCTATTCTCGGACCTGCGCGTAATTGTGTACGATGAGGCGGATCGGCTGCTGGACCAAGGGTTCCGCCGCGAGCTGGATAAGATTCAGAGTTTCTTGCCCAATCGGAGCAAGGTCCCGCGCCAGGCCTTGCTGTTCTCAGCCACTGTGAGCGAAGAGATCAAACAGGTGGCCAAGGGTGCGCTGGTTGCCAACTACCAGTTCCTGAGCACGTTGCGCGCGGACGAAGTGAATACGCATGAGCATGGTCAGTCCCTTTCTCTTAGCTCAAGCTTATCTCATCCGTCGCACCAGTTCCCCAGCAGCTCTTCACCACTCCCTTCGCACAGCATGTCGCCGCTACGCTCGGGTTCCTGAAACAAGACCAGCAAGTGAATCCCGGAGCCTCCAAGGCCATGGTGTTCCTGCCCACTGCCCGATCGACGAGTTTCTTCTACGAGGCGCTGTCCCAGCTTCCGTCCGAAAAACTTCCGCCTCTTTTCCAGATCCACAGTCGCATGTCACAGAGCGCTCGTATCAAAGCTGCCGACCAATTCAAGAACGCCAAACAGGGCGTGTTGTTCAGCTCCGATGTGACTGCGCGCGGGATGGACTTCCCTGGTGTCTCGCTCGTCATCCAAGCGGGTGTGCCAAGCAACGCGGAGCAATACATCCACCGCTTGGGCCGCACTGCCCGTGCTGGCGCCAGTGGCCGTGGCCTGCTCATCCTCGATTCCGCGGAAGAGTTCTTCTTACGGAACAAGACGATTTCTGAGCTGGGGATCAAGCCCGTGGCGTCCTCGCCGTCTCCGGATTCGCCGTACCACGTTTCGCCGGCGGATCTCGCACAGCTGAGCGCTACTGTCTCGCGGGGCCTGCTCCAGGTCAGCGACGATGTCAAGGCCCAGACGTATCGTGCCTGGATGGGATACTACATGGGAAGCGCCAAGAGCCTGCGTTGGTCAAAGGAAGAGCTGGTGCAGCGGGCGAACGCGTTTGTATACGAAGGGCTCGGCTGGTCCGGTCCGGAGCTGCCGACCATCGAGCGCAAGACTGTGGGCATGATGAACTTGAAGGGCGTCCCCGGTTTGAACATCGTCGCGAGTGAGCCCAGGCCACCGCGCAACCAGCCCAGGAAGTAGAGAGAGCATAGATGTATAGATTTTTTTACAATAATCCCATCTTAGTCACTGGCCGCCGTCTTCGCAATAAAAATACCAAAGCAAAGATCAATCAGATTGGAATATGGCACAACGGGGAACATAACATGGTTGATAGAATGATACAACATGAACGGAACCAGCGTCCAAAAGGAACTGGCAGATAGGACCTGCCGCAAGGATCCTTGGATCTTAAACTTGGACGTTTGCTCTGTGCAGCATCAGATCAGCTCGAGTGATGATGATGATGGTCTTTGGGACTCACGGGGCGTCGCCGACGATGTTTCCAGCGGGGGAGTAGAGACAGACATAATAAGAAGCTAGACCCAGACGGGAGTCAAACATCCCATCGCACTGGGCGAGTGCGCAACCTGGCATCGCGTTTACTCATCTTTTATCCCGGTCTGCGAGGAGGAAACGGACCTAGATCGGTGGTCGACTTCCACACTACTTGCGTGAAATGTATATAGGTGGGGTTCGAAGGATCGTAATCCGCTGAAATCCAGGTTTGTGATGCGTCAAATGTGCTCGCACGACGTACATTTATCCAACGTAAACTGCTCCACCGCGGTGGCGATCGCGAATTGACCCGTTGCAGCGACGATGTTCTCCCCGTACGGGAAGCTGAACAGGGATCCTGAGGAATGCTCGAGACGGCATGTGCTCGCCCATTGCGCGGCAGCATCAGCCAAAGTCTGGTTCCATTGCTGCGTCCCATGAGCGTCGGAGAGACCATCGCAAGCGCCAAACACGCACCAGGGGGACTGCATTGTGGTTGATACGAACTTGGTTGTGCCCCAGAAGGTATGCGTTGGCTTCAGGCGAGCCGAGCAGCGCTCCAGTCAAGTCTCCCACAGTGTTTCCCAGATTACCGACAGCATCCCCCACGCTTCCGAGGACGGTGTCCTGCGCTCCGATGACGCCGACAGCGAGAGTGGCAAAGGCAAGGAGTGTGATGCGGAGCATGAAGGTATGGCAAACGAGTGTGGGCGCGGTGTACGGAGCAGAAAAGAAGGCAACGAGCCAATTTCATCTCGGCGCCAATTATAGTCATCTTCTCACGCGTGCATCCGCTCCACTTGGACACTTGGCCTCCCGGACAAGGCGGCGCGTGAGTAGCGTACTTGAGCTTGGAACGCGACTGTTTGCGGAGATTCGCAAATGTCGCGTCGCGACGAAGGCGGGGGAGACGCGATCGACGATTCAGGGGACTCAAATGCAAGCCAACCTTTTAGGAGCGATCGAGGACAGCAACGCCAAGCCATAGATCAAGCGGCCCCACCACTTCCAAGAGAGGATAAGCTGCAGCATTAAATCTACCACAGCTACGATTAGGGCAAGCCCTATAAGAGTGGTGGCAGGATGCTGACAGATCTCGCAAGGAAACACATCATTGCCGATGATCTGCCACTCTGATTGCAACCCGATAACTCGAAAATGGGGGCGCATTCATTCCTGTGCAAGGCATGCCCAATACATAACGGTACCACATATCTCTCCCAGTAGCATGCCATCCCGGAAGAGACGATAGCAAACGACTGGGAAAATTTTGGCCAGCGTGTCTCTCAAGATCGCGTCGCAGGGCGGATGTTGTATTCACGTTTGAAGGCGTCTAGGTCCTCTTCCTTCGTCTTGTACTGGTCTGTCATCGTTGTGATGATGTTCCTTATCTGGTAATGAAAATGAGGCTCGAGGAAGGGAAGGATGTGAAGGGAGATGTAAGCTCGCACCCCGTCTTGATTCGTCTGTAACGCGGGTACAACATCTTTCACGGTACGTTCCACTAGGACGCCTCCGATGAGACGGAAACATTTGCGATCGGGGTCACTTGTGAGCGCCTCGTTCAGTGTCCCCAGGACAAGTCTATTCGAAGGTTTTTGAGCGGCACGAGACTGAAGCACAAGAGTCAATCGCATACGTGTGTTCGTCTGCCTCAGACTCCAGTTCCCCGATCTTGCTCGCTATCGCCTGGAGTTCATTTTGCATGCGCGAAAAATTTTGCGTTATCTCTGGCTGGGACGGTTCAAGAGATGTCCCTAACTTCAGAAACCCTGGATGCGCAACATACCCTGGTCGGAAAGTGGAGTCGGTTTGGCCTTGGCCTTGGTCGTAGCTGCACTAGATGACATGGTGGGGGTGAGCAATCGGGCTTCAATGATTGGGTCAGGTGTCACGGATCACTGTGTGACAAGTCACAACCACTTCTCTTTCCGGCTGCTGGCAAACGGCGGTGGTCGACAATGCCGCCGCTCCCTTCCCGCCTCCTCGTGCCCGTAGGGCTCTACCGCGCCCTCGCAACACCGCAGGCTCCCCGTCTTCTTGCCATCTCGCGCCGCTACCAATCCACCGAGACCCAGCACCCCACACATGCCCATGGCCGTCATTCCCTGAACCCGAATTACCTGGAGAGCGCCGACGGCCTTATCAGTGACCTGACCATCAAGAAGCACCACAAGTCGAAGACCCCTCGCAAGTTTGATGCGCAAGGGAACGAATTGGACGCATACGCGGGTGGGCCCAGCGCCGTTGACAAAGCCGTGCACCTCTTTTTCTTCACGGAGATCATTCGTGGTACGTTTCTCCTGTAACCATCTTTCAACCCAGCCTTCTCGTGTTTCGAACCAAAACTGATCAATTGGAACGCTTATATAGGCATGTGGATTGTTCTGGAGCAATGGTTCAGGCCACCGTACACCATTTCGTACCCTTTTGAGAAGGGCCCCTTGTCGCCTCGTTTCCGTGGAGAGCACGCTCTTCGCCGTTATCCCAGCGGAGAAGAGCGATGTATCGGTGCGCTTGCTTGCGCTCCGGTCGTGTTTGTCGGAACTAACCGGAGATTGTCAGCGTGCAAACTTTGCGAAGCCATTTGCCCTGCTCAGGCGATCACAATCGAAAGCGAGACGCGTATGGATGGATCCAGGAGAACTACGAAATACGGTGCGCATATGTCCATTCTTTTATTGCTCTCTTAGAGGCTGAGCCTCGCACGCGTAGATATCGACATGACCAAGTGCATCTACTGTGGATTCTGCCAAGAAGCATGCCCTGTTGATGCCATCGTAGAGAGTGCGCATACCGTCCATCTACTAGCCGTTTACTGATCCTGTTTCGCGTAGCACAAAACCAGGAGTTCTCCACTGAGACCCGTGAGGAGCTCTTGTACAACAAGGAGAAGCTGCTCGCCAACGGAGATCGTGCTGAGGCAGAAATTGCGGCCAACTTATACTGTGAGCATTGACATCTTCATCGCGCCCTTCCTTTCACTGATAATTGTGCAGCTGAGCATGTTTATCGGTAAACCTTGCACTGTTCTCGTTAGAGTAATATCAAATGAAAGTGCGGATGCCATTGCGAGCGTGAACGTGACCGGTCAAGTGTTTGTTCAACGTTGCAGCGCCTCGTACGCAAGGAATGGAAGAGATCTATTTTCTAAACTACTGTGCGCACAGATTTTAGACCCTGGACGCTCAGAACCGATTGGGACAAATCGCCAAGAGGAAAAGCTTATTCGCACAGGTACATGGAATAGAAGAAGAAGCGAGTTTTGCTGTACACGAGCAGTGAACGAAGCGGGAACAGAAGGATGGAGAAATCGAAATCGACAACGGCCATGGGGGGGATGGTGAGTGCCGAATCGGATTTTGCCACACGGGGACAAAGCGACTGAGTCACACGAGAACAAGCGATCTGGCCACACGCGGGCAAAATGGGGTGAGGGATGTATGAAGGAAAGCTGGCAGGCCGGCAACGCATACTTGCCGGCAGCTGTACCGACCTTTAATATGACAGACGGCTGTAGCTTGTTAGACTCCAGCTGGGGTAGAGAGTGCGGGGAACGCACCACATGCACTACTATTGAGCCGTGTTCGGACCGTTGTGGCGTCCAGATTATTCTCTTGCTGACACGCATTCTTCTCATCTGCAAGATAACAGACTCGCTATATGTGGATGGATGTGCCTGGAGAGGATGTTGGAAGCTACCCGCGTAGCGGAGAACGATACACTTGCCACATATAAGTATGCTGTTGTCGGAATATAGCAAACAGTCTTGAAGCAATCTCGGTTCGATGTACACATAGAAATCTTCAATGGCGTCCTCGGCCGTCCTCGTAGAGCAGATCGAACTTGACAGTACCCCAGTTACTCATGCAGACAGACGAACTCCATCAAATCGCTGGGCAGTCTCGACTTCATCAGGGTGCGCGCTTTCGGCCGAGGATACGCCAGTCGTCCCTCACGGTCTTCCCCATTGTCATTTATATGTAACTGTAACGGCATTTGTCGCCGCGACATCCGAGCTGTGCCTCGCCCGCCGTTTCACTGCGCCCCGGAGCGAACGAGCTCTGAGAACTGCCCATCCGGGGCTCTTGATTAGGCACGCCTGAGTCGTGAGACATCGTAGCACAGCGCAAGTACTGCCGCCGCGCCCCGAACATTGCCACGCTTGGTCGTGCGCCCCGGACAGATGCAGCACGGGTCTTCCTCCGTGAACGCAGTTCCCCGGGTCATCATGGACGAGCGCAGTCATCGCCCGACCCTCTATGGGATCTGGTGTAGGAGAAGAGCCAACCCTGTAAGAGGAAGATAAGATGATACGGGCTGCGCATGCGATCACAGCTACAAAAAATGCGATCCATGGAGCCTTGAAAGCCCGGCGATGACATTACCGTCAAATTCAGCGAGCTTCAGAGCCAATGCGGGAACAACAGAGTGCAGTCCATGTGTTTAGTCGAGTTCAAGCCGAAGGGAGAGGGTGAGACGAGCGGCCGATCTTCCTCGTCGGAAACAGGTGGCTTCTACGGTCATCATGTCATGGGGCACAGGAGAGCTGTGCCTAGACATTGGAATGCCCCATCACACAAGGTGGAGTCGCCTCAGTCCGTGCCTAAGCCTTCGAGTGCCGTTGCCCGCCTTAGAACAATCAACATAAGGGGGCCTCGTGACTTCTTACCACCATCATCTCCCTCGGGTGATGACGGACGGTAAAAGAAAAACGAGGCTCCCCACGCCGCAGCGGGCGGTGGGGACTCAGCGCGAGTACCGGCCGAGATTAAAGGCACCTCGAAATGAGGATGGGTTGGGATTACCCGGAAGTGCAGTGTGCACGGTACGCAGTACGGCGACTTCGTAGAGGTCAATAGGAATATGAATCGTTTCACTACACCCTACAGCCTGAATGGCTCGCACACCACTCTCCCCCTCAATCCCTCATCCCTCCCCCCCGACCAAGCCCTCATCGACGCTGACACGAACGCCGCACTGTCAACACTAGGGAGCCACGTCACGCGCTTACGACACAACACGGGAACGGCAAGCCAGTGGGGGACTGCGACCAAAGACGCCATTACGGAGGGATGAGCACCATGCGGGATGATACTCTGCTACCCGGCGACACCACTGGCGACGCGCCACTCCACACCACTCCACACCCGCCGACCCCGCTTATACCTCTCCGCTCAACGCGCTCACCCGAAATACTCTCTAAGACGACTCTCGACAACAACTTTCGATGACACCTCTTGACGGCAACACTTGCAGAGCTACCACGACATCTCGAGGCTCACACGGACCGCAACCTCACATCCGACAATCTTCGATCTCTACTGTCGAGCGTCCGACCACCTGGGTCTGGGCCCAGAAGAAGACGCGACGAGGACCGCGCAACCCGAACCCGCCACATCTACCGACTGTTCTATTTGGGAGCAGGACGGGAAACGGGGGAGGGAACGCGTTGTCGGATGAGGTCGATCCCTCGTCTGATAGCGCCGCAACAGCGCGACCTATTTAGGTCGGGGTGCGCTGGCCAGCAGTCCTGGCATGTCGGGGGAGATGAATGCGACGCGTGCCCGAGACACGGTTGGCGCTCCCCCGACAACCCCAAAGGTGAGACTTCACAGCGCCGATCTTAGCGGGAAACGCGCTGTGTCTCTTTGGCTGGCTACTGAAAATCTACAACAACCATCGCAAGCTCGGCGAGATGAGCAACGGCAAGACTTCGACGACACACAGACACAGGCATTGGGAGCTGGAGGACGCCATGGCTCCGCCACCGGCCAGGGTCGATCTGAAGAAGGCAACCATGGAGGAGGGGAACAGGCAAACCGTCGCCCGGAGGCAGACCGGGACGACGACCCACTTCCCCGAGAGGAGAGGGCGGCGTCTCGGCGAGCCGATGACGGGCTTCGGGGCGCAACTCTGGATGCAGCGGGCAGACCAGGGGGCACAGACAGAAGTGCTACTGCGCAGCGCGCGCAGGGGAACGGACAGCAGTTCCCACCCCAAGACAACGGGGACGCAGTACGCGGAAATGCCAGAATGGCAGATGGCCGGAGAGCCAATCAAACTCAGCAGCGAGTGTATCCTGGACCAGCAGGGCCGAGAGGCAATGGCAGCAAAAAGAACATGAGAGCTGCGCTCAAGATAGCAGCGTTAAATATACGCGGACACGGGAATCTGAATGTACATCACCCATCCAATAAGTGGTTTGGATTATGGCAGATAATGCGCGAAGAAAAAGTCGCCGCGCTCGTAGTTGGGGAAGCACACATGAACAGAGAACGGAAAGACGACATAGATAAACTATTCGGGAGAAAAATGAAAATCTTCTACTCAGAGAACCCTCGCTCGGCGAATTCAGCAGGAGTCGCAATAGTAATAAACAAAAACATAGCACTGACGGAAGGGATACAGACACACGAAATAGTACCCGGCAGAGCAATGGTATTGCTGATGAAGAACGCGGATGGGACACCGCTCTCAATACTTGGTATATATGCACCAAACGACCCCAGAGAGAACGCCGAATTCTGGGAGAGTATTAGCAGATTCTTCGAGCGACACCCCAGGATACGCAAACCAGACATCATGGCAGGAGACATGAACGTGGTCGAGGCCGCGATAGACCGGCTCCCAGCGCATGAAGACAACAGCAATGCAGTGGATGCGCTGGACGACCTGAAAAGCAGGCTACAGCTGATAGATGGCTGGCGAGAGACATACCCAGACACGAGAGAATACACTTTCACCCAACCTGCCAACCTCGGAGGATCGCTATCCCGGATCGATCGAATCTACGTGAAAGCCAACAGCTTCAACAACACATTTGAGTGGGGAATCAAACGGACGGGGATCGAGACAGACCACAACCTGATCTGGATAAAGAAGTCGACGGCAGAAGCCCCGACTATTGGACACGGAAGATGGGCTTGGCCAGCGTACCTGATCAAAGATAAACTGCTGGCAGAACACATCCACCAAGCCGGATTGGAGCTGCAAACAAGGCTAGAAAGGATGTCAGACAATGACTGGAACCCGACACAAAACGCGCAGACAGAATGGGCATCCTTCAAGAAGAAGTTGAACGAAAAGGCCAGAGACCGTTCAAAGGCCATTGTCCCAAAGATAATCCAGGAGATTGCAGAAGTTGAACTGCAACTTGAGAATGTGTTCCGTGACGCAACAATGCCCGAGGACGAGAAGAACCTGAATGCGGCGGTTCTGATCGAGAAACTCACAGGACTACAAAAGAAGAGATACCGCTCCTCCCGACTGAGCGCACAAATACAAAACAGACTCCATGGTGAGATAATCGGACGCTACTGGTCAAAGATTAATAAGCCAAGCAAACCGAGAGACATCATACCTCGACTGGCAAAGCCGCTCAGGGATGGTGAACCCGCCAATGCCACACAGTACGAGACCAATTCGAAAGAAATGGCAAATCTAGCCAGAGATTACCACGACAAACTTCAAGAAGATAGACAACGCACCGACCCCGATGAACGCGAGCAGGTAACAACCCGCGTGCTAGGAAGGACCCAGACCCAAGCAACGGAGGAGCAGAACACCAAACTCCGGGCGCAGTTGACACACGATGATGTGGAAGAGGCATTGAAAAGCTCGGCGAACTTCAAAGCCCCCGGCCTGGACGGGATCCCATACGAACTCTGGAAAGTCTTGAATGACAGATGCCACACCGCAGAGAGTCTGGAGAAACCTGCATTTGACGTGCTGGAAGTCCTAAGGAAAGTGTACAACGACATTGAAAACCATGGCATGGTACGAGGAACAAACTTTGCCGAAAGCTGGATGTGCCCGTTATATAAGAAGAATGACAAGACAAACATCGCAAATTACCGGCCGATCTCACTCCTCAACACTGACTACAAGGTGTTCACTAAGGCGCTTTCAATCAAACTGGCAAAAGTAGCACCAGAGCTGATACATCCGAACCAAGCTGGTTTTGTACAAGGAAGACAAATAAAGGATCAAATCTGGCTGACAAAGCGGATCATTGAACTGGCCGAAGCCACCAAACGGAATGGAGTAATCGTTGCCCTTGACCAAGAGAAAGCCTATGACAAAATTGAGCATGACTACCTGTGGAAGGCCCTAAAGAGCTATGGAATACCTGACGAATTCATAAATACTGTAAAGAGTCTCTACAGTGATGCTCATACATATGTAATACTGAACGGCGAGAAGAGCAGACAACCCTTCCGAGTTACGCGAGGCGTTAGACAAGGAGACCCGCTGTCTTGTCTCCTCTTCAATCTGGCTATTGAGCCACTAGCAGAAGCCCTCAGGCAATCAGATCTGAAAGGGATCAAGATCGCTGGAGTCCCCGAGCGACTCATCGCAACACTATTTGCAGATGACACTGTTGTATATCTCGACTGGCAGGACGACTTTGGTAAACTACTCGAGATTGTAGACGAATGGTGCATTGCATCAGGAGCAAGATTTAACATTAACAAGACGGAGATGATTCCAATTGGCAAGATTGACTATAGAGACAGAGTCAGAGCAAACCACTTTGTCAATGGAATCAACGGGACAATGATACCAGACCATGTGAAAATTGCCAGGGAAGGCGAGCCTGTGAGATGCCTTGGTGCTTGGATTGGGAACAAGGTAGAACAAGTGGACACCTGGAACAGGACAATTGAGAAAATCGACAACGCACTGGATCACTGGGACCAAGGAAACCCCTCAATGGAAGGTCGCAGACTGATCATCTTAATGGTTGTTGGAGGAATGACACAATACCTTGCCACGGTACAAGGAATGCCAAAAGAGGTCGAAGCCCGTCTGGAGAAACGGGTCAGGAAGTTTTTGTGGGCAGAAAAAGACCATCCTACAGTCAACCAAGAGATGGCCTATGCACCTGCAGAGATGGGAGGTCGAGATCTGTTTGATATCATCGCTCGCAACGAAGCAATCTCAATCATGTGGCTAAAGACATACCTGAACTTTGGCCCGGAGCGACCACTCTGGTGCTTTGTGACAGACGAGATCCTTGGCCACCACATATCGACCGACAACAACAGTGATACTGTCGAGAAGTCTGTGAGACTCAACTCATACCTCCAGACATGGAAACATAAAGTGACAACAAAGAAGATAGGAAGCGACCTATCACGAATGACGGAGATAGGATCCAAAAACGGCATATCACTTGATGCAATAGCTGTATCAAGAGAGATAATGGAAGGGATGCCCATATGGCACCACGCGAAATCAACAGCGCCAAGCGCCAGATTCTGGGCCACAAACAAACATGTTGTACAGTGCCTGAAGGAGAAGCACCATGTGAAAACGGTACGAGACGCACTCCTTCTGGCACGAAAACTGGGCACAGCACGCCACACAAACCGCCGAGACTGCAAATGCACCTCATGTCGAATCACGAAAGCAATAACACATTGTAACAACCCAAACCTATGCTTCCAGAAAGCAAAAGATATGCTCGACACGTTAGACCCAAAATGGGACCCAAGACGAGCCCAGCCGGAAGACCATGAAGACAACATGATTCCGCAGGTTGTTGAAACGCAGAACGGCGAGAAATCCCGGGACATAGACCAGAGGATAACCACAAAAGGAACAATCGCTGATGCATTCCGCATATTCACAGATGGAGAAATAAACCCGAGCCCAATGGCACCAATCAGAAAACATGCGCTCAACCCAGAAGACGAGACAGAGGAAATAACAATATTCACAGATGGATCGGCCATGCACAATGGTAGCCCAAATGCAGAAGCAGGATCAGGCATATGGTTTGGCGAAGGCGACGAGCGCAACAGAGCGCTGAAGGTCCCGAAAGAGTTAGGCCCATCAAATCAAGTCGCAGAACTACTTGCAGTCAAGGAAGCAATTGAAATGTGCCCACCAGGAGCCCCAATACACATCAAAACGGACTCCATGTACACAATCAATGCACTCACCACAGGCCTAACAAAAGCGGAGGACCATGCATTTGTCCTGGCGGATAATAATGGGGACCTAATTAAAACAACCATGACAAAGATCCGAGACAGACGTGCAAAAACGCGTCTAACGTGGGTGAAAGGACACTCAGGCATAGAAGGTAATGAGAAAGCAGACCAACTAGCTGACGAGGGCAGAAAGAAACCCAATCCGGACATCATCGACACCCAGATTGACACATCCTTTGTTCTCCCCGGGGCCAAATTGCAAGCAATGACGCAGTCATCAGCCTACAAGATTATCAGAAAAAGAAAGATGCAAGCAGAACAATACCAGGACGCGCTAGATAGAAAAGCGACCAGAAGAAATATGGAGATGGCTGTAGACGCAACGACGGAGGCCGGGAAAGAAGCCACAGAGGCACAAATATGGAAGTCGACACGACACAGAGATATCTCACGGAGTGTCCGCTACTTCCTCTGGATGCTATTACATGATGGATACAAGGTTGGACAATACTGGTCCAGAATTCCAGGACATGAGGAAAAAGCGACATGTACAAAATGCGGGGAAGATACCATCGAGACCATAGAGCATATCCTCTTTGTCTGCGAATCCCAAGCACAAGAAACAATCTGGGCGCTAGCCAACAAAATGTGGCAAATGAAGACAGGAGAGAGGCTAGAGCCTTCGAAAGGCAAACTGATGGCGTGTGGGACCCTGAAAGCAGGCGACGCAGGACGATCCCGACTCCTTCGGATCCTTGTTTCCGAATCTGCACACCTAATCTGGAGGATGCGCTGCGAAAGAGTGATTCAAGGCAAGGAAGAAGCCTCAGCGGCAGAGGCCAAAAACAGATGGCTCAACAAGATGAATACGAGATTGATAATTGATTGCGTGCTAACGAATACAGTGAAATATGGCTCGAAGAGCATTAAGTCTTCTCTGGTCCGGAAGACTTGGGCGAGAACGCTGTACAATGAGGTACACCTCCCTGATGATTGGACCAAGGGAGGCGGGGTTTTAGTGGGTGTCGGGTGAGTGGCAAGGAAGGAGCTGGTTCAACACCGGTTCCGGAGCCGCTTATCCCGAATCCCCACACAGACATCGCGGGAAACCGGATGTATCGTGTGATGGCAACTTTGGTTGCCGAGCACATTTCCTCGTGTGGTCGATCCTCTGTCAGGCTGGGTTCCAAGTCCAAGGCCTCAAAAATGACGGGTGGTGGGTTAACGACTATGTCGGGAGCCCTCCCACCTTTAACGTCCCACCAAAAAAAAAAAAAAAGAACAATCAACATTCCACGAATCAAAGACACAGACACAGCCCCGGCTCGAGGATCAAATCTAGAGACGAGATCGATTCGGGGACAGCGTAGCCTTGAAACACCGAGCGGCGAGTCAACGACTACAAGGGGGGACATGCAACTGAACAAGAAAGGGCCGTGGGGCGTGTCGGCCGATAGTGGGGTCGCGGCGATTGCCGGCATGACTAGTTCCGGGCGGCCAAGCTGTTGTTTCTTACGAAACACCGATCTCTGGTCAATCCGCAGTGAGTAAGTACGCCGTCGTCTTCTAACCCTCATGATCATTCGACATTGATTTATCTCACAAGATCTTGATGGGCCACAGTTGTATGCCCGTCTGTTACAGGTGTTATGTGAGCGCGACATCGCAATCATGTCAAGGCGTTTCAGAATTCTTGCACAGAGTAATCAGACAGACGCGAATCATATTAGAATTAAAACGCCCAAGCAGCGGAGAACAAAATATAGTCGAGAGAGCATTTAGTAGCGGCGATCATCGTAACGGCTCCTGCGGTCTCTGTCATCGCGATCATAGTCGCGCCCACGATAGTCGTCTCTGCGGTCGTAGTCGCGTCTGTCGTAGTCACGTCTGTCACGATGATCGTCATAGAGGCCTCCGCGACGGCGGTCGTCATTATCCCGACTGTACCGAGAGTCGTATGGCCGAGGGTCGTACGGGCGCTCATCTGCCAAGCACGTCAAGCCAAGAAGGATGGAATTGAAACACAAGCTACCGTCTCTTTTGGGAGGGCCATAGTAACGACCCGGAGTCGGCGTGCGAGCACGACCGCGACGAGCCTGGAAGAAGGTGAGAAAATCTGCATCGCTGACACATACATGGGACGGACCTTCTGGATATTGAGAGTCTTCCCCGCGAGCTCAGTTCCGTTCAATGACGCGATCGCGGCATCAGCTTCCTCCGGAGTCTCCATTGTCACAAATCCAAAGCCGCGCGAATCACGGGTGTGAGGGTCGTACATAATCGACGCCTTTTGAACCTGAAAACAAGTGAGCGAGTGCGATTCACACCGAGCAAGGTACATACGCGACCAATCTTGGCGAACGCAGCTTCCAAATCGCGGGTCTCGAGTCGGTGGCTAAGACCAGACACGTGAAGGTTGTTGCCCGGGTTCTGTCCAGCGCTGAAATACGAGAAGCACGATAAGCTCAAGCTTGGGTACACTTCGGGCATCATACCTCTCGCGCGCAGGGCTGCGACTGCGACTGCGACCGCGCCGTCCGTCGCGTTCATCACGACTATCACGGTCCCGGCCGTTGGCACCCCACGTTTCACCACCATCGGCAAGCGGCGTCTCAGCGGGAAAGTGGATCCCAGTCGTAGCGGAATCTTGCGACTGCCAGGCTGTAGGCAGGTGTGAGTAGGGCGTTATTGACATAAGATCCGCGGAATGGTGAAGAAGTGGGTGGTCGTAGGCGCAAGTGAGAGAAAACGAGTCGGAGTATCGTATCATATCTTAGTAAAGTCGAAGAAAGCCAGGAAAACATGAAAGACAGTGCCGACCAAAGCGCCGCGCTGCATCCGCAGAGCATATGCAGCAGCTGTTTTGGGTGACTGCGTCTCGTCGAACATGAAAGTGACGCCGCGAGCCAGGCGAGGCGATGCAGTTTACACGTCGTCCAATTGTCCGCAACACAACCACTGCAGCGTATGAAGCACACTACGAGGTGGGAAGGAGAGCGCCACAAACAGACGTCGTAGGTGAAAAGAGCGCAGGCGGTAATTACTGAAGTGCTGATACTGAAGGCGAAGAGGCGAAGGCGATGTCCGTACCGTCTTCCATGATTGGGCTCGAGAAAGGTTGTAGAGTTGGAGGGCACTGGACAAGCAGTTGTGCCGTTGACGTTGGCGCTGTAGGGGATTATTTGGGAACACGCTTACATAATCAAGTAGGTTCACGATGCACGTGATGCACACCCCTAAAGCACGGATGATTACAACTTTGAAAGTTGATGTGACTCTCCTGTGAAGTTCAGCGAAGAGACGAGGACGGCAACAGCATCTATGTTTTCCTTATCTGTACTTGTCTTCATTCCTCTTTGAAGCCGAGATCCCATGGACCATAGTTAGTCAGGCTGCTTGACGCAAATGTAACAATTCTAGCGGCCTGAAATCTGTTCCTCGGACTAAAGTGGCAAAAGAGCCCATGACTCGCAGAATCTAGATATCTCATAACACTGCTGTGTTCCGCAGCACAGTCTAACTGCGGATCGTCCAAGCTCAGAAGGACAATCTGAAGCCCGCCGGATGATCTATTGTAAATCCTTGCGGCTCGGAGCAATACATCTGCAAGTGAGAGAACCAGATTACCAGAGAAAACTCGCGTAAGTATTACGCCCAGACAAGGATTCGCGATGCCCGAAGCTCGGAGCCCGAGCCCTTTTTGCATCACTTGACTAGATATCTCCAACCAATTATGATCTCCTGAGCTAATGCAACCGAGGAACACTCTCTTCTCCTGCTCGACCCACGCCTCTCGATCTCTGAATCTGTCGCGCCCTTCGAGCCGTATTTCCTGTATGAAGGGCTTCTACTGGCAGAGACTGCGGTACTTGCCGCCAAGAATCCAGAAAAGGAAAGTTGCACGGGATTGGCGCAAATGCGATGTTCTAGCGAATAACGAGCGGATCACAGGAGATTAGCTGCATTCATAAGCACGTGGTATCGTACGTACAGCCGGAGCATATCAGGTATAGAGCAGTCAGTATGTCACTAGTGAATCTACCTACTAGGAGTGGAGAGAACAAAGTCTAGCAATACACGGAGGTAGTATAGTTAGTATACACGGCGGTGTCCAGAGAGGATAAATATGCCACGAATATAGGGCATGAGCGTCGAGAAAGTCATCAATGGGTCGTAAGAAAGGACTGCATGGGCATAGGTCGAAAGAAAGCGGGAAACGAAAGACTAATGGCGCAAGCTTCACGAGCGGAAGACGCGCCCGCTGTGGGTCGCCTCACCCTCGCTTTCCGACTCCAGTTTAATCGAAGGGAAAGCGGGACTGCTCGACAACGGCAGGAAGCTGAAGTTGATGCTGGACATGCTGGATCCGAAGTTGGTCGCGCCTTCCTCGTATAGACGACGAGCAGCTTCATATTCCATCTTTTCTTGTTCAGCCTGGGCAAGGAAGGGCTGGGACGCGTCAGCATATGTCTGCAGGACATGGCCGATTGACAAACCTTCTTCTCGTCATCAGACATGGCCCTCCACCAGGCAGCAGCCAATATACTCTGCTTGGTCGTCTCCGTCTCTTCTCCAAAAACTTCTCGGACAAGAGTAGGATCGGCCCGGATACGTTGGAGGAACATGAAATACGCGCTCAGAGGCTTCTTCGGCGCATTCGGGTCCTTAATGTTACTCTTCCGTGACTTGCCGGCCTTGCGCTGGGCGGAACGGAACGCGTTCTCGCGCTTGATATCATCCGGGGTCAGCGAGCGCAAGTAAGCACTATGCTCCCGCTCCCGCAGATCTTTGGCTGCCTGCGAGCGCTGCTTGTAGGGCTGCGGATGGCGTAAGCAGGGGTGGTCACGTCAAAGGAATGCATCCGGACCTCCTTCTCCTCTTCGCTCAATCCGGCATAATCTTGTCCGGCTTCCTTTGCCGCTTGGGCCACATTGAGCTTTCGGTGGCTTGAAGCCTGCTGTCGTTGGATCCAGTCGGTGAAATAAAGCTGCCAGGCAGATGGCGCCAACTTGGGAGGTCGGAGCAGAGATTTCTGGGGAGCTAGATACGGATCAGATCAGTGGACAGTGAGCATGGCAAGCGGGACGGACCGTTCGAATCAACTGCACCGCCCTGGTCGCTATCCTCCGAGGGAATCACTCGTTTCCGCCGTCGCACAGTGGCATCACGATCCTCGATGTCGAGCGGCGTTAGAGACTCGGCCCGGCGACTGTACGACCGGAGGATGTTGATGCCGTTGGGCCCCGCCGACGGTGCACTACTGGATCCTGGGAACGCCAGACTCGACTGCGAGTTGCGCCGCACGCGGTCCGTCGTGAACGTCAGCGGCGAATGCCGTGAAGATGACCGCGGCGATGACAGAGTCCGATGATGTCCAGCGCGTGGTGGGGATCCTGGAGCATGTGTATCCCACAGCTGAGAAGCCCATGCCGGCCGCTGGGTGTCGTGTGGTGAGATGGAGTCACCCAGCGTATGGTTCCGCGGAACCGCGAAGTCAGATGCATGTTCCTCGAATGACGATGCAGGTGAGTAAGACCGTGGCAGCGCAGCTACCAGTGCTGACGGTGAGAAGGGCGTGCGCATATGGGTGTCCATCGGCGACAGCCCATGGCTGCTGTACGAAATGAACGATGGCGACTGCGGTCCCGACGAGGGAATTGGGATCGGGGAGGACGGAGACGGAATGGGTGATGTGTCGATCTCGCTACCGGGCCGCGCCCATTGGCCCAAGTAGGGACTATCTGCTCCGAATCCTAACGAGGACTTCGGCAAGGTAAGTCCGGGGAGGCCATAGTACATGGTGTTTCCTGTCTGATATAGCATCGATGGCTGAGCAGTGTGGAGGTCGAGATCGTGCTCCTCGAAAAATGGCTTGTACTCCAGTACTTCCTCGCCCGTCGAGTCGTAGCCAACGGAGCCTGGTGGAGGGAAGTCGCCATCGAAATCGAAAAGGAGGTCGTCCGAGCTCGATACTGCCATGAGCTGGTCGTCCTCGGGATAGTTCAGGTATGCAGACATGGTATCCTTTTCGAGAATGGAATCAGAGAGCGTGTCGGACGCGTCGCAGAGGGATTTGAGTCTCACAAGAGTGCCCGGCATCGGAATGGTGGAGTGAGAGCGTAAGGTGTGTGGTTTATATGGAGCCCAGCGAGGCACTGCACTGCGCGACGTGGGTGACTGATGTCGAGAGGGAGAAGATCGAATCATAAGTTGTCGGATTCCATGCTTAAGAGGGATACGCCATCGAGCTAAGTCCATTTTGGGCGGTGGCTGACTCCGGATGACTGCCCGAGAGCAGAGATGAGGTGTGTGATAGTTTGGATGCTGATTCAATCTTGATTTCGAGACGTGTCTCCCGTGCAGAAGTCTGTCCGTATCAGGACTGGATTCTTTGCAGATCTGGAACGCGGTTGTTACTTGGGCAAAACTTGGCAAGTTCGTCGGCGATCCTTCCAAACTCTCTCGAGAACATACGCAAACGGCGTCCCTCCCGAGCAGAAGCAGTGCGCGTGCGTCACCGAGTTCTTGGAAACAATGGGCTGGAGAGAGATCTGGGAACGACGAGATTCAAATCTGGAATGGAAGAAAGGGAAAGGCGCAAAAAAAGGCTCTGCCTGCTATGTTTGGAAGGAACAAACCAAGCTAACGGCACCAAAAGTGCCGGCACGGATTCCGAGATCCTGATGCGGATGGGCTTACACCTCGGATATGTGCTCAGCGTTTGTAAGAGAGGATTGGACGGTCGCCGTGCAAGACAATTGTTGATTACAATGATCTATCTAAGCAGAGGACCGCAACTACGATCATCATATGTCCGGAGTCTTGTATTGAGGGTTGTTGTAGACAGATTTGCCGGGCTGGGGAGATAAGAATGGGATATGGAGGTGGCGGAGAGAAGTGAGAAGACTCGAGATCAGCTGCCAGCCATCGGTATCGCATAGGAGTGCTTACCACCCAACCCTTCACATCTTTCATTATCTCTGCTTCGAATGCTGCGCTGGCCTGCGCCTGATGATATGCGGCACGGTCTCCTTCCGCCGCAAGAAGAGGTACGAGATGTATTCTTGCCCAGGCTTTCTCTCGCTTCAGTTCTCTGCGAAAGATTGAGTTAACCCGCCTCCGGAGAAACATCAGCTGGCCAGAGCCAGGCTCATCTGCTCCGACTCGGACCGGAGGTACGATAAGCTGGCGCAGGTGGCGGCCGGATCCAGTTGGCCACACAAGACCACATAAAGAGCTCATCGAGACACGTTTCACGACCGGAGCAGCCAGGTGATTCGAGAGATGACGAGATGACTGACCTACCTTCTTTCGATGTTACCCAGTCCAAGACGGTAAAACCCGAACGTGCAAATGGCCGTGACGCCGCCGAGAATCACCAAAGCTCCGGGCCCACGCAGGGGTAGATTCCGTTTGTATTTCACGGCCTCGAAACCTCCCGCCGGTGGAAGATCCCTGGAATTAATGAGTTCGGACGTGGAATATAGAGTATGACAGAGGAACGCACTGCCTGTAAGGGGCCGACACTAAAGTTTGTCAGACGAGTGAAAATGGAAGTTAGAGAAAACTGAGCGCACTGGTCGTTGTCGAAGACAAGGTATAGTTTTGTTTGCTTGCGTTAGTCTCTCACGATGTCGAATGTGATGTTGAACGGATTAATCTGTCTGTGACGTTTCCGTTGCTAGACTGCAGGGCTTGCAAATGAAAGGATGCGGTATATATGTGCTCAAACACTCTTGAAACGACTTGACGGAATGTTTCTGGGCGGCGACGTTGCGTCACGGTGCAACTTTCCTCTTTGAGCATGGACTGATTCGGACGTGATTGATTTTGCTGGCCTCTCAAGCTGTCAGAGGACTGGCGCTGTTCTGTCTGGAACCATGGCGGCCCTCCCAACCCCTCCACTCATTCCTCCCCCTGGCGTTCCACTGAACGTGCTCCCGTCGCGCCAGAACTCTCAAAATTCTTTTGCTCCCGTGGGAATAGCTGCAGGCGCGGAAGACGTCAAATATCAAGCCAAGTACAAGGACCTCAAAAGAAAATTGAAGGAGATTGAAGCGGTGCGTCTGCGCCCACCCTTCTCGTTATACCTAGTCTCATACAATACTCTACGTAGGACAATGACAGGCTTCATTATCGAGTGCTTCAAGCCAAACGTAGCATCCAGAGAATGAAGATCGAACGCGCGTGAGCCACTCCATCTATTCACCATGTAGATACAAACTTGCCTCAACTTCATTTCAAATAGGGTCCTCTATGAACGATTACAGCTTGTCCCGACGTCGCCAGAGCCACAAGAAAGACACACCCACTCGTCCGTCCACCCAAGTCCCGGAATGCAAGGACCGCAACATCATGCTATGGCTCCTAATCATATGTCTGCGCGAGATCTAGAGGAGTACAATCGGGGCTCACACCCTCGGTCTGGGCCCGTAGAATCGCCGCGAGGTCCCGGTAGTCATCCCCGACGCGGTTCAGGAGGAATACCAGGACAGCCACAACTACAATTCATGCCTCAGCAGTTTGCACCCGCTCCACATGAGCCACATCGAAATCACGCGCCTCCACCCGTCGCCCATTCCAGCCCGGCACTGCATGCGCACGAACGCACACGATCACCTTCTCGTGGACGAGGGCACTCCCTCAGTTCTCAGCAGCAAGTCTATCACCCTTCTCCATATGGCGACCCACCTCCGCTTCACAGTCCACCGCTATCCGATCGCGGCCGGTCGCGACACGAGATGCATGAGCCGGTCCATCGTCATCAAAACTCGCTTCCCCCACTGTCTCCACCTGCCGGGCGCATTCATCCTCATCAACGCATGGGGCCCGGAACGTATATTAATCGCGAAGAGCCGATGCCTGAGAGAGATTGGGACCGTGAGCGACGCGACGCACCAATGGATGCGCGATCTCCAAACTCCGCAAACCGATCCCGGGCTGAGTATCCCGATACCCATCAAAACCGTCGTCGCGAGGAAGCAGGTTACTTTGGTGACCGACCTGCCTATTCGCGCTCGGATAGCCCCGGCTCTCGCTCAGGATCTGGCTCGGGCGCAGCCGAGGGAGTTCCCTCTCGGCCAGATTCCCGCACGCAGTTCTATCCAGAAGCTGAGCGAGGACCTGCAAGTGGCGCACCCCGGACTTCATTCAGATTGCGGCCTGTCGGCGGAGAGGAGGTCGATTTCGGAGCAGGGAACACACCGCCGCCTGCGGTAGATTCGCGAAAGCGGAGCAGGAATGAAATGGACGTCGACAGTGAGGAGCCTTCGGTGGGCTATCCAGAGACCAGAAGCTCGAAGCGCTTCCACCAAACTTGAGGGATTCTTACATATCTACAGTATCTAATTGATTCTCTTCACATCTTGGAACGGACATGTACTTTACCCTCGCCGTCGCTTGCTCAAAATGTTTTCGATGATGGCGCGTCTCACAATGTTCTAGTATTTATATTGGAAATGAAGCACACACCGACTACCGCAATTGGCAGTGGTTGTTGTGGCAGAAGATCGCGGATGCTCATCTGACCCGGGCGGAACCTGACAAATGCAATGCAGCGCCACGGCAGCATTCGTCTCAGACTTACGGAGACTTGGATCTGTCGATCTCTTGCGAAACAGGGATATGCCAGAGCGATAAGATAGCATTCCCGCATTCGATCACGACAGTGAATGTCAGAATTAGTGCCTGCCCTCGAGTAAATCACAGATTAATCGCCCCAAGTCGCGGTCAGGCGCTCCGAAGAAACGGGAAAGTGAGAGAGCACGGCTGAGGCGGGTTCTCCGCTACTACAGATTGCAGCTTGATCTTGCCAGTAGGAATCGACATCTTGCTGGGTCAAGAAGCGGTAATTCCAGCGACAGCGTGTCTGGCGAGCAGAGTCGATTATGGCCTGCAGGAATTCATCATTGTCAGCGACAGTCGGGCCCTTGAGATCCATCACGACATCCATTATTGAAAGCGTTCGCTGGCCGAGGGGGACCGTCTCGCGCTCACGTGCCACATGCTGTCGAGCACGCGAAAGAAGCATACTTGCCGTTGTCTGACAAGAGGTTGCCGTGGCGTTGCTTGACGAATGGCTGTGCGACGAGCTGTCACGGCGAGCGCGCTTTGTCGGAGTGGCGGAGAGCATGGCCAACACAGACGACGGGCGCTTCCTGGTTGACAACTGCTCGAAGCGGGTAGCTGCGGATAAATCACTCTCGCGGAGGCTCGAGGAACGTTTTGCGATTGGCGCAGGAGAAGATGGAGCCACGTCGTGTGGTTCTGCTGTTGGCTTGCTCTTGGTCCGGTAAGATAGCCTCGGAGAAGACGATCGAACGCTTCGACGAGATGACTGTTTTTGTAAAGGCGTCCTATGCGACGAGAATGAACGGTCAGGTGCTAAAAATACAAAGATAGAAGCTCTCACCCCCGGCGCGAAAGGGTTTCGTGTTGGTATTTCAACGGTGATCCCGCTGCTCCAGGATTGAGAATGACTTGGATGTCCATCGCCAGGGCAGATCTAATCAGCGAGGACAGATTTAGACAGTGGGCTAGTTTGTGGGAGTGGCTGGTGTGAAGAGAGGAACGTGCAGTCTGAGACAGTCCAGGTAGTAGATAGGGGCTTCTTTCGGCTACAACGATGCCCTTGCTAGCCATCGAGACGACGAGAGATAAGTGCTGCAGACAAGGAAAGCTGGAAATGACGCTCATTTGCGAGCTCACGTCGGCTCGCGCTGCAGCATCTCCGACAAGACCGAATCTGCTCCACGGCCCGGTACCGCTTGCCGACGGACAGGTCGACGAGAGTGACACAGGTCAGACCACGGTGATCTTCACAGTCGCGTCTTGGTGGATGCGTTTCGCCTTCCCGAGGCAACTTTCACACAAAATATGTGCTGATTCTGAAGCCAAGTGTATCTTCGGCATCTTGACAAGAGAACAACCAGAAGCAATAGAACTCAGACTGCGGAGGGAGGGATGATTGCAATCTTCCCGATATGAAAGCCTCTGCGAAAGTGGCGGACTGAGTTACGTCACGGGGTCGAGGCCATTTCGGTCTCGGTAGCACGTTGCCTCTCGGGCTGATCAAGAGCTCCAGGCAAGCAGCTCAGCACTATTAAGGTCTCGACGGCCAAGAACGAGATTGGGCTTCAAAATCAACGACCGAAACATCGAGATTCCGCACACCGACAGCCGAGAGCGCAAGAAATGCGACTCGCTGTCCGTGGAAAAAAAAACTTGCGAGACCTGGGCCAATCACGAAGCTTGTCAGCTGGACGACAGTATGTCTAGAGTCAATCAGCATCTGGCGCAGCGGTTTGGGAAGAATATGATCGGAATGGAAGGGTGGTTCGTGCCACAAGGCTGCGCGGGATACAACAGGATACAGCACCAAAATGGAACAGACAGGTTCCCAAGTCCTGGGGCACTTCTGCCAAGCCGGCCACACGCAGAGCATCTCAGCCGACTTGCGCGCCAATGATCCAGTTGCGCTAGTCGCGCGATGCCCGTCTTGTCCGGGAGATGGGATAATTCTGTTCCCGGAAGGAGGTTGTGGGTGTCCTTATCCGATAATGACCAAGCCATAGATCTCGGGGCCGGCTTTGGTGGCAGAGGAGTTGCTCACGTCTGTGCGGATGGTCAGAAGATGTTCGACACAGCACGCAGACGCAGCAGGATCCAGCTTCGGCATACGCATATCTCGATAGCGGAGAGGAGAGATCATGGGCCTGGCCGTGGGCTAGTTCGCGGACAGGCTGTGGCTTTGGCTCGATCTCGGACGGTAGGAGGCTATCTGGCCTGAATTGTGGTGATGTGACCCCTCTTGCTTCGAGCTCAAGCTCTTCTCAGTACCTCTATATCCACTGCAACCGGCTCTTGGAAGACAAGATCGAAGTTTGTATAGGAATGAAAGTCTCTGTAGAACGTGTACATGTCCAGGTGAAAAGTTCAAAACTTTGCGATCACAGATGATGGTGCATCAGCGGATCAGAGCATGATGTCATTTAGATTACATCTTGATCATGGACAACATCGCACTTCTTCCGGACGCGACGCGTTCCAAGTTGCGCTCCACACAAATCCTCACATCACTCCCCCAGATTATATCTGAGCTCATACAGAACTCGCTTGACGCCGGGGCACGCAATATCGATGTCGGAGTCGACTGTGAAGAGTGGACGTGTTGGGTGCGCGACGATGCGTCGGGAATAGGCAAGGAGGGAATGGATATTCTGGGACGGGGCATGGAGGCTGGGCGCTACGGTACGAAACACCTCATTCAATGTGTGCATGACTCCAACTGCCTTAACAGGAACCTCCAAGGCCTACGCTCCAGATTCCCTCAACGAGGTTACGACGTTTGGGTTTCGCGGCGAGGCTCTCGCATCATGCGCGGACATATGCTGCTTGGAGATATCGTCTCGTACCAAAGCCGCACAGGAGACGTGGTCGGTCATCGTCAAGGGGTCCAAGAGTCTGTATCAAGGACCGGCTGTTCGCTGGAAGCGTGATGGCCCAGGAACGACGATTTGCATCCGAGATGCTTTTTATAATGTGAGTGATTGACAACACACTCTAGAAGCGGGCTCAATCATGGCACAGCTTCCTGTCCGTCGTCGAGCACACCCGCCCCCTCCTCGCTGCCTGGACGCAATCCGACAGGAAATACAAGTATTCTCGCTTGTATTTCCTCATGTCTCCTTCACACTCGAAAACACACAGTCCTCAAAATCTGAGAAAGATGTCTTGCTTCGGATACCGAAGGTCTGGGACAGGATCTACTCTCTGACGCGCTCACTTACGACTGGACGGTTTTGTAGAGCACGTCTTCATTAGCCGCCTTCCGGCACAGTTATGGGCACCCGTTGGCTCAAGTATGTCCGCGAGTCGACCGTTGGCTCAGGCTTGACGCGTTTCAGCATGTTGAAGAGGTCGATGCGACATTAGGAAGTCTTCAGCTCCGCGGATTCATCAGTCTGGACGGAGCACACTCAAAGGTTGGCTCATCCACTCGCTTGAGCATCCGGGGTTGAATTTTCTGCTGGCAGGCTTACCAATTCCTCTGTCTGTCTCCTGTGTAAGTTCTGGATCTCGACACTCAACCACCCCAGACATCAACCGCCACCCGATAACTTTCTGCGAGCTTCACCAAACAATTGATCATCAGTTCAATTCCAGCTCTTTTGCTAAACATGTGAGTTACGTTATGACACACACGCCTTCGAGAAGCCTGATTGGAGTTTAGGCTTTTGATGAAAACGGGGAGACCAGCGAGAGGAGCAGTCAGTGTTCGAAAATAAACGATTGGCTTTCTGTCTGATCCACAGCCGCAGCGACTCGACGATCCCCTCGGAAAGCTGAGAAGAAGCCGGTGTATGTTCTCGACATCACAGTGCCATCACAAGACCTGGATAACTGCCTCGAGCCTGCCAAGGCAGCTGTTCACTTACGCGTCTGTTGTTCTGCACTCCCCACGATAGTTGCTGTAACTCACTGACACCTAGAACAAGGCCGGCGTCACCGAGCTTCTAAACTCGACGATCCAAGGCTTTTTGACACGTCACGGATTTGCAATCGCGAAGCAGGAAAACATTCGGCATGGGTCCCCTTCCCCACGGAAGAGACGAAAGCTCGATAATGTTGATGACACGGAACCGGTCTTTCGACGGACATTAATTCCATCCCGAGAGCCATCGCCGTTGTACACTGGAGAGGTGAGCAGCCTTCTAGCCACCCCGAAACGCTCACGTAAGTCTATTCCAGGAGGAGAAGGAGCTGTTGTGGACGGATCCCAAGACGGGAGAGGTCTTTGTCGTTGATTCACGCACAGGAAACTCGTACAAACGTGCTGAGCCTCCACCAGTAGAAGGATCGGCGCCGCAGAAGCGCACGCTGTCCAAGTCGACACCCAGGCCAGAGAACATGCCAAATTGGATCAAGACAGCACTAGAGGTTGCGACGATCGATTTTAGTCTCAACGTGGTCTGGCTGATCCGTCGCAGGCGAATAACATCTATGCGGTCCCCGAAGAGAAGATCCCCTCGAAAGAACCCACTGTCGATGGGCCGTCATCGTCCGGGCGTTTTGACAAGGCCGACATCTCGAATGCTGTGGTGATCGAGCAGGTGGACCGAAAATTCATCGCATGTCTGTTTAATCGGGTGTTGGTGCTTGTTGACCAGCATGCTGCGGACGAGCGGATTAGAGTCGAGCGATTCTTGAAGGAGCTCTGCGAGGGATACGTCTCTGGCAAGCGTCCACCTGTCAGGGAGGTGGAAAACTCAGTGCCGGTCCTCCTGACAAGCCACGAAGAGCGCCAGCTCCGCCAGCCTCAGTTGTTGGAAACGCTTGCCCATTGGGGCTTTGCTTTTGACGATCCACATCCAGACAATGCTTGCGGCAACTACCGGCAGGTATTCGTGAGGCAGGTGCCTGAAGTGCTAGCGGACAAGGTACAGTTATTACCCCTGTTCTATAACTCGCACTAACCGAATGCAGCTTTTGATGCAAGATGAGATGCGGGACTTTCTCAAGTCGTTCCTCGGAAAAGCAGCAGAAGATATGCTGTCAACAACAGAACGTGACCCCACCAGCGAAGGCGAGATCCTATGGCTGCACGGCCTGCGCCAATGCCCCAACATCTCCTCGAGCTCGCCAACTCCAAAGCCTGCCGCGGCGCAATCATGTTCAACGACTCGCTGACCCGCGCACAATGCGACAAACTGCTCGCGAAACTGTCGAAGACGATTTTTCCCTTCCAGTGTGCCCATGGACGGTGCGCCATTCCCTGATGATTCTTCCAGCTCGGAATCCGAGTGCTTTCTATCTAGGCCGTCTATGGTTCCCTTGATCGAGCTCGAGCAGGTTTGCAGGCGACAATCAAAGCCAGTGGATTGGAAGGGGTTTGGCTGAAGATTAATATGGCTAAACGCGACGGGTTTTCCGTTTCCATTAATGTCGTGCATGATTTCCCAGATCTGCCTTGATTAGTCCCTCAGCGCGTGACTTAATTTCATGGACTTGGAATTTAATTGATACACAGTGTACTGGTAAACGCTCCGACGGTGCTAATAAATTGAGATTACGACTGCTATGCCCAGATGTGGATGCCGCGAAAGTGGCGGCCAAGTCTCTCGCGCTCCTTCCGCTCAAAGGTTTTGAGCACGTCCATGGTGGATGGATACAGCTCGTAGATGGACGTGAGTTTCTCACGTGCCATGGCCTGCCGATGGACCCGCTCATCGATGTCCATAGAGAGGTCGTCAACCTCCTTCGTACTCGCGTCCACCGGGAATCCGGACCGCAGTTTCGTCACGGCGTCGAACAGCGCGCGGAGCACATCGTGCCGCGGTCTCCATGTGTTCCAGAGCGGAGAGATCCGGTGCAGGACGTGCAGCTGGTACGTCAGATCTTCGAGGTGTTCATCTGAGAACGCGTCGACGGCACGTTTGTGGTACCGACCCCACTTGGTCGCAGATTCGCGCGCCTTGGCCTGGAGCGGTTTCTCGAGCGGCCGTTGATCGGTGGGATCCACGTCCAGGGATAGCGGGGAGTCGGGGATGACGTTGCGTTCTGAGCGCAGGCGGTTGCTTCTTCGCTGGTAGGGAAGCATGACTTTCTCCACGACCTCGAGGCACCGGTCCAGCTCGCCGGCACGGATGAACGCCAGGGTCAGCTCGTTCCAGTTGTCAGACGAGTACGAGAAGCCATGCGCCTTGAATGCATTCCAGACGTCTGCGATGTCGTCGAAGCGGCGTCGCTTGGAGAGCGCGCGGACGTAGCACGAGAGCGGGTCGCACAGAATGAAGCTGTGCAGCTTGGATGCGCGCTGGTTCTCGCTGTCGTCCTCGAACAACGGCACCTTCAAGTATCTGACACCCAGTTCGAAGATCTGGGGCCACAACTTCAAAACCATATCCACCCTCCCGCTTCTCGCGTACGCAGTCTGGATCGCGGTCAGGATGCTCAGCGTTGGCTCATGTCCGCGTTCCTGGAAACGCTTCCAGAGCTGTTCCACTTGCTCGATGCGCCCGCGTAGTCCATACGACCGGATCAACGGAAGGTAGAGCTTGTCGTGCGCGGTTCGTCGCCCATACGATGGCAGGTCCCACGACCGGTCTCCCCCGTCCAACGTCTTGAGGAAGTCCTCGGCCATCTTGTAGCTCTCCCGCGTGCCATCTAGTCCATACGCAGAAACCAGCGCGGAGTAAGTCGACGGGTTCGGCTCCAAACCCCGACCCAGCATGTCTTCGTACACGTCCAGCGCACGTTGCCGATCGCGCGCACGAACGAACCCTGCCATGATGATAGTCATCACATGGGCCGTAATGTGCCGATTCGAGCCCCAGTGCGCCGCCAGCCGCTCCATTTCGGCGAATATCTTGGTCGCCGTCTGCATCTCGCGCGCGTTGCAGGCCGACTGGATCAGAAGCGCGAACGTAAATCTGTCGGGTCGCACGCGCATCCGCTCCAGGTGCTGGAACACCCGTGACACAATCCGGAACGGCGCACCGATGTTGACATAGGCTTTGAGCAGCAGATTGTAGGCGGCTATGTCTGGCTTTAGGTTGTTGGTCAAGATAAAGTCAAAAGCCTGGATGGCGCCCTTCCACGACGCGGCCTCGATGTGCGCATCGACAATGACGGAGACCATCTGCGTGTCGGGGACGATACCCTCCGCGACGGCCCGCGCGTACAGAGACTCGACACTCGACGGGTCCTTTCGATGTGCCATGAGCGTCATGACAGTCGTGTACGTCACGATATTCGGCGGGTGCCCAGCTTCGCGCATCTGCTCCATCAACGAGGCAACCGACTGCAAGTCACCCCGCATCGCGAAGCTCTTCAGCAGCGTCGTAAACACGTACACGTCAGGCTCGATCCCGCGGGCTCGCAGTCCTTCCAGCCACGGCACAGTTCCGCCGTAGTCACCCTTCTGCGCATGCGCGAAGATGCCCACAGCAAAATGCTCCAGCAGCGGTGCGTTCATCGGCACTCCCCTATCATCTGGGGGGAAATACTCGTCGAAGATCTCCCGAGTTTTTTCCGTCTTGCCCAAGACCGCGGACGCATACATCAACTGGAGCACAGCCTTGACATTCATCCACCCCGCAGCACCGATGCGGTCGAAATACAGCTTCGCATCAGCCTCCCTGCCCTCGTTGGAGTGCAGGTACAGCCCCGTGAACAGATATTCGTAGCTGTGTTCGCGCGGAATCGAGTCGTACAGCCCGTGAGCGTCAACATACAAGTTCGCGCGCGCTAGGACGCGGACGAGCTGCAGGGGGAGGTGGACCGCAGGCTTTAGGTTCTGCCGCTTCATCTCCCGCACGACATCCAGCGCTTCCAGCGGGTGCTTGGTGCGGAAGTAGGATTCGATGAGGAGATCGCCCAGGTGCCGCACGTTCTGCTCTGGCCAGTCGCCCTGCTTGTCCGCCAACACGATCGCAGGGAGAGACACGCGGGAGACAATGTGGAATGCCGTCTTGCGCAGCGAAGCACCCGCCGTCACAGCCGTGGCCAGGTCAGCATCGGAGGCATACTCGCGGCTGCTTTCGGTGATCAGGAAAGAGCCGATGGCCTTCCACTCGAACACAAGAAACTCGGCGGCCTGCACGGGATCGCGGTGCCGCCAAGTCGAGACCAGGATAGATTCGTAGGCATGCAAGAATGGACCAAAGTGTTTGTGCCTTGGTTGCTCCGTATGCATGACATCGAGCGCGTCTTGCAGTTTGGCCTGGAGCGCCATGGCTCGCGCGGTGAGGTATCTTCCCGTGGTCGGGTCAATCTTCTTGGCCGACGGCGTGTCCTTGAGGATTTGGAGAGCGTAGTCGCCCAATTCATGCACATCCTCTATGTCCGGGTCCCTCCGTAATCGCCCTTCTCCAAACACTAGAAACTTGGTCACCAGCTGCTCAACGTCCCGGCTGGAGATTCGACGGAGGAGGTCGTGGATGCCCACGGTCTCGTACGCATGCCAGACCTGCCGTGGGTTGATGCGGCCTTGCGGCTCGGCAATGAGTCGTCGCAGATAGGAGAGCGCCACTGCGGCTGACATTTTCTGAGGCAGAGGTGGCGAATCTGTCTCGGAAATGTCGTCTAACGGCGGGGGGCTAGCCGGGTCTGGATCGGCGACGGCATCAAGGGGAGAGTCTAGATCGTCCAGCGGCGCCTGCTGGAGACTTGATGCAGAGACTTCAGCTGGAGGAGAAAATAGATCGGAATACGCGCTCGAAGAAGGGGGAGGCGGGTCGGATGAGGAGGACGAGCGGTCAGAGCGGATCGCGTGACGAGACAGAGTGCGATGTAGCACGGGTGGAAGACCGACACGTCGTCGGGGCGGACCATCGCCTGACCTTCTTATACGCCGTGTATTCCTGGGAAATGATTTCTGAGCCAACGAATATTCGTCTTCAGTCGGGTTTTCCATCCCATCTGTCACACAGGTCAAGTTCCGCACAGAACCCAAACGAGAGCCGAGCTCACTGAGACACCAAATGGACACTCGCATCCTGCATGACCATTCCTGGCATTTCTCAGAATATGCTGCCCTCGCGTCGCCGCGGTCGTGGTGGCGAACCAAGCCGGCGAAATCAACGTCAACCATCCTCTCCTTCCCCTTTCCGCTCCCCGCGCGTCGCGGCACCGGGTTGAAGAACCCAGGCGTCATGAGCCCACCGCTCGAGCGAGCCACGGCAGCGGCAGACCCAGAGACCGAGGCAGGGAGCGCGAATGCAGCGGTACGGAGTGAGTTGAGGATGATCGACCCGACTGGCTCGACCATGTAGAGGTCCCGAAGCCAGTGTTCTGTCGTCCAGTCTGCAGCAGCGCATCGGGTCAGTAAGTCTGCACGCAGAAACAGGCGAGGAGGAAGACAGCGCACCTGCACCGGCAGCGTTGAGTCTTTCTGAAAAAGTAAGAATGGAATTTTGGAACGTGACGTGACGATCAAAGTAACGTCTGAGTGTGTGCAAGGGCCCATCGTTAAACAGAGCTTTGACCGCCAATTTCGTAGCAAACTCCCGAAATCGGTCTGAGCAGTCATATGTACGTTTACACTTGCGCTATGGACCGTGATCTCAGGCCAGACTATATATTCTCAAGGCTCAACGACCTGAAATGAGTTGATACGGATCAAAATGTTCCCACGCATCCTTGATGGCTCCGATTATCGTCTCTACAGAGCTCATTCACTCGAAGGGCAGAGCAGTCGAAGGCGTCATCGAGGAATGCCATAGACTGCGAAAGGAAGTGTTCCATCTAGAGCAGGTCCCGCTTTCCGTTCACTCAGCCTATGCTGCTCCTCACCCACTTCCTCAGGGATTCCCGCTTGACACTGAGTTTGACGAGTCCGTTCTGTTTCACGAGCGGTGAATTCGATCCTCTGACGTCTCTAGGGTGGAAGACTTGGCGACTCATTTCTTGTTGCGCGTCACCGAAGAGGATCCTGACACGTCGATCCGCACCGTGAAATCCGTCGGCACGATCCGTGGAACGACGCCCGAGATCTACCCCGCTATCAATCGGTACAAACTATCTCGGTGAGCACGGTGCTGCTGGATGCACCTTCGTACTGACAGGCTTCTTAGATTGGTGGTGGACAAAGACTACAGGAAACACCGGTTCGGCCGCGTCCTTGTTGAGGAGCTGCACCGCTGGGTCCAAGACGATGCAAAAGCGACGCAACGGCCCGCAGTGATCGAATGCCACTCTCAGATCCCTGCAATGGGATTCTACGCCAAGTGAGTGGACTGGCCAGCGCGCTTCACTTTTTCTGACGCCATGTCAGATTCGGATACATTCCAGAGGCGAGTCGCTTCCACGAAGGAATCCATCCCTGAGCCTAATCTTTCGCAGGGCGAGCAGTTCGATGAGGACGGGCAACCGCACCAGGGCATGATAGTCACTCTGCCCATTTCTGAATAGAAATAGATGTCTTGTTGTCGGCGAGTGAGTGTGTAATAGTACATTGTTCCATTCTAGATAGGACTGTTACACCACGAGACTATATTTGCAGGACCTGCGACATCCAGCATGAGCTGGGTGAAATCAGAGGCGACTGATGCTCACCTTCTTCGCGGCTTGCCATGACGCGAGCGATATCGCTTGTGTGGGCACCTGTGCGTGAGACGTGAGCAACAGCGGGTGGAAGAAATCCAATCTCTGCACCTGCTTGAACAAACCGATCCCTAGCCCGGTGAAGAATCCCCGCCAGCCAGAGGCTTTCCACACGCCGTTCACGACCTCCCTGATACCAAGCATGCGATCCGGCGTGCCTTTTCCGCTGGCCTGCTGCGTTCGGCGGATGACCTCTAGCGGGTACGTGAACACTTGTGACACAGTCCCCGCTGCAGCCCCGATGGCCAGGTGTATTCGAGTCTGGTTCGCTCTGAGCGTCGCGGGTGAAAGTACAGCCCGGGACTGCGCGTTGAGGGTCTCCCAAACGAGGAAGATCCCACCCCGATATGGGACCGTGCCAAGGAGTGACACAGTAAAGCCGCGATAGAAGTGCAGAAACGGGAACACTCTTGTGATCCCTCGCGATGATCTCCCTTCGGCCATGATCCCCCGAATGGCGCCCCATGGCGTGGGACGCGCGATGGACTGCCCCGTCTCGACAGCCATTCGCACGCGGATCAGCTCGAAAGGATATGTTAACGGCATAGCAGAGATTCCTGGGACAGTCATTTAGTCCTGGGAGGGAGTGATCGGACGAACGAGAGAATATCACCGGTGATTGCCCCGGCGGCCAGCCTTCGGAAAGAAGTACGTGATTCAGGTGTGGGCATTAACCACTGGGAAACAAGAACATTATCCATTATCAGAAGCTCAGAAGGACGGAACAAGGATAACGCACCACGCTGACTTTCTCGTACACCGTGTAACCAACGGCAGCATGTGGTATGGCCCGCGCAAGTGTCAAAGTGTGTCCTTGGAAGAGCCCTCGCACGCCCTGGGTATGTGAAATGTGCTGCAAAGCCTGGACCGCGCCCCTCCAAGATCCTGTTAGCACCGTGAGCATGTGGACGGCTCTCCCCGACTCGTGTGACCTCACCAGCGAAACGAACAAACTCCGCATTCTGTGTTTGGAGCAGAATCTTCACCCGGTCGAGAGGCGCAACAGCCGTCTTAGCCTAGCATCACGCTAAGTCAATCAGTGAGTCTGGATGAGAGAACGGCGTATGATACTCACCAAGCCGCCCGCGAAACCCCCCGCTATCGCAGAACGAACGAGAAACTCAAATTCAGAGAAGGGCGGATGAGTGGCGCTGCGTAGTGATGAGTCTGTCATAGGCGCCTCGCCGAGATGCGGTGTACGGCGCAACGTCGGGCGCGGGAGCAAGGTTAGGATGAGAAAGTGGTAATCACTGGGTCGGAGAAAGTCTTAAAGGCGGCAGTGCCACTGATCGATTGACGTAATGGTGCTTGCTGATCAGTCGTCCAGTCAATCAGCAGTGTTCCTTCTCGACGCGAATGAGCGTTTCGGTCATTTCTTGGACGATGGCTGTGAAGCACAAAGAACTTGTGCTCATTTGCCAAACTTCATCTCTCTTTCTTGAACGCAAGGTGTCTGGCAGACACACTTGAATGTGCTTGAAGGATGACGGAGGTCCAAGCGGATCCGACCCGCTATCCACAGGCTGGCTCAGAAAAAAAATCCTCATTATATATGGTATCCATGTATGCGCAATCTTTTGTCTATAAATACGAAGCAGCCATGACCAAATCTAGGCCTGTGGAAGCACAAAGTAAGCAACTGCGTCATACAGCTTCGGCAACAAGACACACCTTAGCCGCAGGCTGCATGAACATTCCGAATCCAGCGCCGGGATGGCCCTGGCTCTGCTCCTCGAGCTCGAGCTCCCGGCTGATCTGCGTGAGCGAGCATGGGGCGCAGCAGCACGAGAGCAGGCAGTCCGACACGCCGGTGCCCTGCACCAAGTACCTCCCGCGGATGGTCGCGCGCCCGCCCATCCCGACCAGCCCGCCGCAGCCGAAACACTGCGCGGCTCCGTAGATGATGCTGTCGTTGCTGATGACGCCCTCCATGGGGTCCTTGCTGACGGACTGCGGGGAGTGGATCAGGTGACTGTTCAGAATCGCAGACAGCACAGCACGCGACTGACGTTCTGCTCCAGAGCTTGGTATCGGGCCATGTTACGACCGTGTGACACACACGGCAGAAACCAGGAGACGACACCTTGTGTTTGTCAGATGGTTTTGTACGCCCAAGAATACGAGGAGAGGAACTGACAGGTAAGCGGGTCTGCGAGACAGTCGAATATGCCGTGTGACCACTCGCGCTCGCCATCGACGAAGGGCATGTTGTTCGCGTTGAGGTTGCCACCCGCCTTCATCTGCTCAGTCGGACGCGGTTGTTGGTTGTACTGCAAAAAGTCGTCAGTCGCGAGCCTGAGAAGGGAGAACGAACACCTGACAGCCATTGGTGCGGATTTTGTTTGAAGTGTTTTGAAAGTATCAAGTGAGTGTGGATGTGCTGAGTAGCTTCGAAAGAGATCGCACTGCGAAGAGAGAAAAGACGGTTTTCTGTGGGGGTTGTAGATCGCATTCCTATGCTTTATATTCCCGTGGTTTGAGCTTATTCGTGTTGGCGATGGATTGAGATATGTCAGTGCCAGACAGACAGAGCAAGCGCTGGCTGTCCGACATGTCGCCAGTAATTGCTTCCTGCAAGTCGCGGCGGTATTGGTCGATTGGCAGCGCGAGTCAAGATGGGCGGCGATTTACAGCGGCCGCCAGCAGCTGCCGATGCCTCCGAACTTGGCTTGAAACAGATATAATCTGGCATCTATCGGATTCTGGCAGTTCTGGAGCTGCTGGAGCTGGAGCGCTGAAGGTTGAATGTTACGTGCAACTTCAAGGATTGAGAGATGAGCATCGCCACAGTCATCCATGACACCTTGCGCCCATCGACGAACCAGCTGTCAGTCACATGCATAGATGCCTACCGGGTGATGCCTTGCGGACGCTCGGGTCCTCATTGACGAGTGGAGAGACGACGTGGGAGCCATCCTTGGCCAAGGACCACTCGCCGTCTGCCATTCGCGTGCATTCGTGAGACATCAATATTCATTAGAAGAGAGCATCAGAACAGAGTCTGGAATACGTCAAGGGCGTAACAGATCATAAGAATTACCGCAAGGGCAGGAACGACACGGGATCGACGACGTTCCAAACCCCGACATGAGCGAAGGCGGGCAGAAGATGCGCGGTGATCAACCAGATCTGACGCGACTCCCAATCAGCGCGTGCGAGAAAATCGAGTCTAGGAGAATAGTGCGTACGTTGTACCACCAGTAAGAAGCACGGTCGGCCTCGACAGAATGGTCCTGGATGAAGCCCACCGCGGCCTTGAGACCGAGGAGACCGAGGTAGAGCGTGACGAGCGCCGGCGGGGCCCACAGCCAGATCAGAGCCGCCGTCCAGGCTGCGAGCAGAAGCGCGAGCGACCAGCGTCCCACACGAGGCGACAGAATCATGGGGAGGGTGACCCTCCCGATGGCAGCGTCGCCGTCGCGGTCCCGAAAGTCCTGAGCATGCCCGGTCGTGGTGTGCAGCAGGCCGCTGAGGACGATCGCCGTGGTTGAGAGCGTCGAGAGCGGGGCGCCGTGGTCTGGAACGGGAGATGAGAGAGAGGGGAAACCCGGAAAGTGGGCGGTGGCGAACCGAACATGACGGTCGTCCCCCAGCAGTAACACACATAGCCGATGGATCCCAGGAATGACTTGCAGAACCAGTTGCGCGACATGGCGAGCTCGTTGT